AAATGGGAGGGCATTTTATACCCTCTCAAATTATTGTTATGCTTTACGTATTTCTCAATAGTGCCTTTCTCAAAGCGGGTGAGCATTTCTTTTTTTTTAAATTCACGTAAAGTCAGTGAGCGGTGGAACATTACGTCTCGAAAAACAGAACCAAACAACTGTTTTTTGAAATTTATTTTCACATTACTTTTTTTTACAGGGCTACATTAAATCATCTTGAAAGGGGTGTATGTGACTCATGGCAGTTTAAAGGTAAAGACCAGTTTTGGAAACGCAAATGCAATCGCATGACCAGAACTGGTCTTTATCTTTAATCTCATTAAAAGGCGAAATACAAAAAGAGAAAGAGAGAGGGGAGAGATAGAGAAGGGGGAACGGGAAACAGAAAGACAAACAAATCAGCATTAGCCTGGGGCAATCTTACCATACATCGTAGACCCTTGAAAGAGCTGTATCTCATCGGGCGTGAAATAGAGCGGGAGACTGTACGATGAAGGAAGGACGTCTGAGGAACAAAGGTCAAGGCTGAGAACAATAGCAATGTTCAATTTCAATTTATTAATGTTTCCAACAAAACATTACCAATCAATTATAAACATTTACAACAAATGTAGAAATACATGTTGGAAACAGAGGGGTCCACTAAAAAGCAATGCTTGTACAAATGTGAACACCTCAAATGATACTGAGGAATAATGAGTAATTAAATTAACAATGTTGCGGGCGGCAGCTGCGTTACTATTGCATGCAGGGTATAAATTACAATTTACTCTACTTCAGTTTCTATACAAAACTTCAAGCCTTTGTCTTTTTTTTTAAAATCCTTACTCTACTGTTGAAATTGAATATCAATTTGGGGGTAATTTTTCCAAATAATTTTCTTAATATTTGTAAACTGTCAACCTGATAAGACAGTGTCTAGAATTAAGTGGTTCTACCGTATGTGCACCCAAAATAAAACATATAAATGTAACTCTGGAAGATCTCAACACGTCTCAATTTATATCCACCAGACATTGTAAATCAACTACATGATGTCATAAATGTATAAAACAACTTTAAAACATTTAGCAGACAATATGAGCACTGTTACCGGGGCTTTAAAAATAATTCTTTTTTAAAAAAAAGGAAGAATATCAAGCTTAAGTTTTTCAAAAAGGATACCCAGATATGGTTTCCAGAAGGAGTCAGACTTCAACTTCTCAGAGAGAATGAAGATAGCTAGTGATACGTTGGGCATTCCTTTCAAAAGACGATCTCCTCGAACCAGGTCCCCTGCAAACATCAAACATCACAACACACAAAGATATCAGCAATCAATTGTTTCTATACCAGGGGGGTGTTTCACAAAGATCCTAAGTCGAACTTATCTCTAAGTTGGACTTAAAAATTATGGAAAGCCATTAGCATCTTTGAAAATATTTTGTAAAAGTTATTTTGAAAGGCATAAAATGTTGGTTCAAATCATTCATATTTTTTTATCATCAAGGAGATTTCATTTTCTTGATGTAGAATTTACAAAAAAAAAGTCTAAAATACTTGAATTTCTGCTTTTGAATATATCTCATTTTAAGGCTTCAATGGCTGTCCATAATTTTTAAGTCCAACTTAGTGTTAAGTTCTACTTAGGATCTTTGTGAAACACCCCCCAGTACTTTTCTTCAACCACTAGATATCAAGAAGCAAACATTTTACAAACTGACTACCGGTAACTGAAACGCATCAACAAGAGTATTTGCAGTAAAGGCCTAAACCCTCTAGACCAAGGCATGGAAAAAAAAATGGGGCTTAGGGTACCTTGAGGCCCAGACTGAGCATTAAGGCACTACAATACTGACTGACTAACTGAATTTCTTCATTTCCAAAGACATACCGGTAATACAGGAACAGAACAGATTCTTGCCATCAGTGGGTTGATAGCGTTCTTGGAAAAGTGGATCACTTTCTTTTTAAAATTCATGGTGAAATAGTAGCATCATGGTTGTTGTTTTAGACATTTAGCAGGGGTAATAAAATGTAGTAGCATGGATATTTCCCTGGTAGTAAATGAGAGAATGAGGCCAACCATGAATAAGTATTTACCTATTGGTTCCATGACACATGTGACGGCAGCAATTGCTCAACTGTCCATTTCAGAAACCAACCCAATTCCAAACCTCAACCCTGGATATTATACCTAACCCTAACACCAAACTTAATTGCAACCCTAACCCTAAACTTCTGACAACATAAAGTCTGGAACAAATATCGCCAGAGGGAATGTCACCAGAGCAAATATATTACTGGAACAAATGTCACCAGGGCAAATATCACTGGAACAAAGGTCACCAGGGCAAATATCACTAGAACAAAGGTCACAAGGGCAAATATCACTGGAACAAAGGTCACCAGGGCAAATATCACTGGAACAAAGGTCACGGGGGCAAATATCACTGGACAAAGGTCACCAGGGCAAATATCATTGGAACAAAGGTCACCAGGGCAAATATCACTGGAACAAAGGTCACCAGGGCAAATATCACTGGAACAAAGGTCACCAGGGCAAATATCACTGGAACAAAGATCACCAGGGCAAATATCACTGGAACAAAGGTCACCAGGGCAAATATCACTGGAACAAAGGTCACCAGGGCAAATATCACTGGAACAAAGGTCATCAGAGCAAATATGAGATTACCTACCTATTGTGGGTGAATCTACGGCATTCTGATCAGTCATCATTACTTTCCTTGGGATGTTCATCAGCTCTTGATCCATCTTTGTAGACAAAAAAGAAGAAGAGTTAATGCACTCAATACCACATAAATATTTAAAAAAATGATTGGGGTGTGATAATTTATTGGAATAAGAAATTGGAAACACATGTACCGTAATCATCACATGTTGTGTACCCCCAAACCCAACCCAACAGTTTGTCTTGCTGTCAGGAAAATAAGATATATCTCCAATGGATGCTTATATAATACCTCTACTCATTGGATATAAAGCTAAAGATAACTTGGGTTAGTGTCTATGCAAATTGCTTATTTTACCAAATCACTCTGTGTCCAGCAGATAACCATTTCTCAAAATGTATTTTACAGGATTATCTTTCATTATTATATGTTATCCATAATATGATTTTAATATAATTTTAGTAGTGCCCCCAGGAGAAGGTGCTTAGGGGAGCAAAAATAAATGACATTGTTATATGATTGTCAGAATGATTAGCATAGATTACACTGTCAGGTGTTTATTGTAGCTACAGCACAAAGGTTCTGAATAATTAAACTGGTTGGTTAAGCACAAAACATGCTAAATATGTTTTCATTGTCATGCTACAGCACTTCTGCACTCAATGCTAGGTTGGTTCAATGTATCAAGCAAGCCAAGGCAAGGCGTGGTACATGCAAAAGCAAATGTGTTTGGCTACAAGGTGGCTGTAAGGCTTTTGCTGGGCAGTGCCTACCAAAGGTCAATGCCAAGATGCCAGGTTAAACAACCGGTCAAGGTAATTTTTTTCAGACAGACTGTAAGTGATATTTTGTTTGTTTTTAGGGCACTTTTTAGGTTGGATGAATGTCTTGTATTGCACAAAGTAATTGTCCTTGTTTGATAAGCATCGATATACTACCCACTATGAGCTTATACATGTAGCTATGAAACAGCATATACATTAAAGTGGTACTTAATAAGTATGAGCAGTTTTATGACTGGTTGAAACAATTATGAGTCATTTAAAGGGATGTTTTGTATTTAACAGTTTTGTAATCCAGGTCATCTGATAAGTAAACTGGTTGATAGATATTCATATTTTGTATTTTGTACTCCTTATGAGTATTTTACCAGAATGAGATAATCAAGATTTATAAACAAAATTATATTCTTTTAATCTTGATCACTGAATGTTCAAGATTACAAATAAATGTCATGTGCCAAACAATTTTGGTAGAAAGTGTATAATTGGCTGAGTAATGAGCATAGAAAGATAAGAAAATCAGGTAGTACTAGCCCGACACCATTTGTGTAGTCCCATATACATCTTTCTGTGTACAGTGCTTGTTACTTTACCAATACTGGGCCAAATTTATTAAGATTTTGATGATTCCAGAACCTTACAGTGCACACCAATACTTACATGCTACATGATCAGCTTTTTCTGATCCATTCCACACCTTTTCTTTCACAATGCAATTGCATTACCAGAACTCACCTTTATCTTTAACCTAAACAATGTCTTTCAATAACTTGTTTTTTTTAGAGTTGGTCAGGTTTCCCATTATAGTATAACATATCAAAAGCCCTCTGGATATATCCAGTCGTGACACCAGCAAACAGGAGAATTTGCTGTGACTACATCACAATCAATTGACCAAACTGCCAATTTAAGAATCACATTGGTTCAGTGATCTCATAACTTTCTAATTATTTCTCGAGTCTATTTCAAAATTTTGCCACTCTGTTTACGTTATCTAAATTTTCCGCTTTTTTACAGACAAACTTATCACAAAGTTTGGAGTGCCCTTTAAATTATTCTCAATGATGGTCACCTTGATATCTTGTGTGGCCTGGAGACCATATCCCTCATCAAACTTGGCCATCTTGACAGCATCTGTTGTAACTCCATTCGTGTTGAGCCACTTGAAGAATGTCTCAAAGTGTACTTCTCGGTCCGACTGCTGCATTGGCTCTCCCGCCACTAGAATATACAAGGTACCAAAAATATTTAGGAAATCATAATGATAACAACTTTCCTGTGAACACTTATCATAAGTCTGGTGTTATCTTCTGTAGGGAAGGTAAATAACATAATTTGTCTTCTTTTTATCACAATTTGTTTTCTTTTTATCACAATTTGTTATGTTATCAAGATTTCTTGATAGGGGCTCACCATTCTGCCTTTTGCGTATTTTCTCAATCAAGTTGTGTATCTGAAGGAATTCTTCCCATTGTTCGCCAGGGGTTGGTGGGCTTGGAGTAGCAGCAACTGTAAGAGAAAGAGATAGAGAGAGAGTGAGAGAATGAGGACAGGAAGAGAAGAGAGAAAGGTGGAAGAGGGTGAGAGATTAAGAGAAAAAAGCAAGAGAGAGTGAGAGAGGAGTGGGGGAGGGGATAAAGACAGAGAGAAAGAGAGAAAGAGAGATTGTAAAGAAAGGCAGGAGAAATGTACACAACACACACATAAGGTAAACCCAGCTCAATTTAGAGCAACATAATCAATACTGAGTTGCTGAATGATCTGGAACAAACTCCCACCCCATATTCAAAATGCCCCATCCATTGAATCATTAAAAACCCACCTTTTTAATAAGTTATAATATATACTGGAGGCGCACACAAGTAGTTAATTCCATTCAACTGAATTGTATTGTATTATATTGTATATTATGTATTGTATTGTATTAGTAATATTATATTTTATTCTGTTGCTTTTAAAGATCAGCTTAAGTTCTGGTAATGATAGAAAATAAACTCTCACAGAATCAAACAAAACTTTCACTGAATGTTCAAGATTACAAATAAAGGACATACATGTGCCAAATGATTTTGGAAGGACATGTGCCAAATGATTTTGGAAGAAAATGTTTAGGGAGTAATGGTCACAGAAAGATAAGGAATTCAAGGTTAGTAGGCCCGACAGTCCAACACCATGTACTTAACACAGGTCACTATGTGCAAATGAGACTTGTGGTTTTTATTGAAGATGACTTCCAGCAAGTTTTTGTGAGGTTCCTTTAATTTTTCTGGTTCAAACAACCCGTTTAACTGCAGGATAAAGAATCCACAATGAATTAAAGCCATGTTCTCTCGACATACGATGCCCATACCAAAGCTCAAGATTACCTTTAAGCTATTGAACATGTTGAATAATTATACTGAGTTTGTCAGACCATATCATCTGTGCGCTTGGAAATGCCTGTATTAAGCACCCTATAAATGTAATTATTATTATTATTATTATCATTTAACCAGATTTTATTTGTATGCCATTGTAGTTTAAAGTTTGTCATTAAAGGTAAAGACCAGTTATGGTCATGCGATTGCATTGTGAAAGAAACGTTGTGGAATCGATCAGAAAATGTTGATCATCTAGCATCTAGCATCTGCAAGGTTCTGGAATCATCAAAATGATAAGAAATTTGGCCCATTCTTCGTAAAGTTACAAGCACTATACACAGAAAGATGTACATGGGACTACCCTATATCTCTCACAGACCATGAGAGAAACAAATTTACCAAATATATGAATTAGTAGGCGGTTGACTTTCCTATAATAATGCTATAGATCCTATGATGAATTACCGTAATAATATTGTCGATTTGTTTGTTTCAAAGTAAATAGAACTCAACCCAATGAAAACATCAATTTCTATTTTGGAAAACTAAAAGTTCAACGATGCTGATTGAAATCAAATTACCAGTATAGTCTTACTACTTACAGTCAATAACTTGTCCACACAGTTTGATCAGTTCTTTCCTGTCTGCTTTAGACACTTCATCTGGGCCAGGATTGGCCTTCCGTTTACTTTTCCGTCCCATTTCGCTTCTGTTTTCTGTTTTCTGAAGGAAAATCATTGGAAGATTAGACATTGAACGAAGAACTTTGCGCATTGAGCGCTGTACAGTGAGTTTACGCGCTCTCATTGGCCGATCCGCTCGTGTGGCTTCAAATTCGAGTGAGAGAGCGCCTACTTAACTTAAGCGCAACTTAAGTTCAATGGCAAAGTCAATACGTAATATTACGTCACACCACAGCATTGCACACACATAAAATAGAAAAATTAACAAACATCTCAGAATAAATTTCCTGTTTGTACCTTAAATATGACGAAAATGAGAATTGTTCAAACTTAAAAAGTAGTTACGTGAGACTTAAACTTAAGTGAAATACTTAAGTCAAAAAATAATAACAAATAGAGAGTTTGACTGAAATATCATAATTTTGGAAAAAAACAGAAAATCGCAAGCCTGCTCGTCACATAAATATCTTACAGCATTGTGCTTAAGTGAATGGAAAACGGCGATAGCCAATAAGAAGGGCCTTTGTCAGCGCCAATTTCGTAAAATGAGGCTGCGATTTGCCAAGATCGGATAAACGATTTGCACATGCGCTATGTAAGCTACAGATCTTCTTCTTCTTCCATTTTGAGTACATACCTCTTTACAGAGTATTATTGTACTATACTGGGGTGTGTGCAGGTGGACCACTACACCGGGGTTTCCCCCTACTCTTATACGAATAGTGCAGTGGGTTCTTAACGTGCAAAGGTAGTGACTCTTCTCTACACGGGGCCTCCATTCAACGTCCTATCCGAGGGACGGAGTGTTTTCCACTTAACATAGCCTGCGTCTATGATAAGGGGAGGGGCACGTTAACACTCAACGCAGGCTTCATTCATTCACCCGAGTGGGATTTGGATCTTTGGTTCGACAGACAGACGCTTTACCGACTGAGCCAACTGGTCAAATTTAATGTCAATCATTTGTAGCATCACAATGTCTAGACCGAAAACTTCAGTCTCTCTAATCGTCGGTTGTTCCACTGAGACTACGTCTGGCTCCACTAGACCTCCGATTATAGAGACTGAAGTATGGCCTATCGGGACTGTACGGGACTGTACGGAACAAATGGTTCGGTTTGACCGGACCGCGATGAATGAGACATGCAACAAGATTTTCACTCTTTACATCCTCATAACTGCTGCAATTATAATAAAAATTAAAAATAACATATATATAGCTTATTTGACTTACGATAGCTCGCTCATTTAGATCCTAAATTAATGATTAATCCGAGAAAGTCTCGTCGTCAAAATTATCCGTCTTGGTTTTAGTTGATGAATATTCATTTTTTCTTTTCTAACGTCCAATAGCTACTGTAGCTACGTACGAGTCAGCCCGGCTTGAATAACGAACTCCCACGAAACGAGTGCTCTGATTGGCCATTTGGCTTCGAACGTCCAATAGCTACCGTAGCTACGTACGAGTCAGCCCGGCTTGAATAACGAACTCCCACGAAACGAGTGCTCTGATTGGCCATTTGGCTATGTTTCGGTAGGTTGACCCGGAAATATTTTGGCCGCCGGGTCATATAGCCCTATGTTCGAGTGCATGAACGTACTGTTTCACAGTTCTGAGATACAAATTGGATAATTCATATAAGTAAGTCCGTAAATTATACATTTAATATTAAGTTATCAAATTTTGATAACTGTAATTAGGACAAATGATATACCGACCTAATTTACATCTGATTTAGAAATCAGAAAATTAGATCTAAATAAAGAAAATCGGGGAGAAAATGTTTTGAACGAAAAGCTGTACATTGTTGGCTATAGCTACCCGCACGGTACGAGATCTCTGGGTTACCATCTGTATTGGGGAATGTCAACAAATGTCAGTTTTATTAAAGAAATGACCCAAATCAGATGGTTATTTCTGTCTACACAATGTCATGAATGTGAGAAGTAGATTTCTTGTCATATTATTATTAATTATTATATTTTTTAAATTTTATACCATGTTGCATGGAATGCTAACCAAGTTTGCCAACATTTAAGAATTAACTTCAGTCTGTCAACAACAAACAAATCTTTTTAGTTTTAAATTCCTAATCCAAATGCAGAAGAAAAAAAACCTCAAATTGTCTGAACTCCAAAACGTGCAATCAGAGATTTTTAATTATACTTGCAGACAGGGCCTAAACTGGAGGCCATATTTTACAATTTGACAATAAGGGTTTTAAATGCTTCAAATGGATAAGAAAAATGTATTAACTATATTAACTTGTTAAAGTCTAATGAAAACAAGTACTAAGTAGACCAGCCGAGGATCTAAACATACACGGACAGGGAGGCGTGTCTCCCCGGCTCTTCCCGCAGCTAGAAGCTTGACGCTTCGCTGGCACTCCCACAGCCAACACAGGCAGGACCACAACATCTATTCTTAACAAGTTCGTTCGACACAATATGCAAGCCCTTCAGTACCAGCAAAAGCCCCCCAAAATGAGGTATTAACTGAATTAAACTCAAGAAACTTAAATTATCAGAAATAATTATTAATTTACAAGACAAAGAAAGAAAATGTCATCATTTACCTTTCACTTCCGACTAAGATTTAGTAAGATCATACAATTGCAGGTGGTTGAAAACGCCCTCAGCGCGCGGTATGCGCTATGCAAGTAATATAGATGGGATCTCACATGTTTTGGGGATTATTTTTCTCGAAATATTGAATTTTATCCACAAAAAAACGTTAATTTCCATAAATCAGAATCGGAGAGGTGCCCTTTTTTTGTAACTTTCCAAGAATTCGTCCATGTACATGTATAATATCCTGTACAGGCTCGTTTACGCAGGATTTTTCCGAGGGGGGGGGGGGGGCCGGGGGAGTTTTAACATTTTTACACCGGGCCGAAAATTTCGCAACGACTCAGCCAGCCGCTGAATAAGGAGAAGCTTATATTTCTTTTTAGTGAACATTTATAGCCAGGCGCGGAACCAGGATTTCTTAGGGGGGGGGGGGCCAAATTAACATCATGGGTCATGCACGCAGAAGTATCCTCTGATGCCCACTTCAACATGGTTTAAGCTAAGAAGTCGTGTGAACTCCAACTGACTGGCTTTGTCACCGACCTCTTGAACAACATGGAGGACAACAATCAGACGGACATAGTAATCACCGACTTCAGTAAAGCCTTCGACAAGGTCACCAGATCGAGGCTTCTGAAGAAGATGGAATACTATGGTGTGAGAGGCCACAACATTGACTGGATATCCAGTTTCCTCTCCAACCGTAAGCAGCAAGTTGTTCTGGATGGTCATACGTCATCAACGGTAGAGGTCCAGTCAGGTGTGCCTCAAGGGTCAGTACTCGGACCCTGCCTCTTCCTCTTCTACATAAATGACCTGCCAAACCAACTTTCAACGAAAGTCAGATTCTTCACCGATGACACGGTTCTGTACCATACCATCCAGACACCTGAGGATGCAGTCTTGCTACAGCGCAGGATCTTGATCAGCTTTGTAGGTGGTCAAGCAAGTGGATGATGGCACTAAATCCAAAGAAATGCCAGGTCATAACTGTCTCCAGGAAGAAGACCAAGTATGTCCATCATTATTCACTCAATGGAGAAATCTTGGAGTCTGTGTCAGCTGCCAAATACCTTGGCATTACTCCCACTGCTGACCTCAACTGGACACAGCATGTATCTGCCACTTGCAAGAAGGCAAACAACACCCTAGCCTTTCTTAGAATTAGGAACCTGCGTGTCAACTCCACTCGGCTTAAGACCACTGCATACCAGGCTCTCGTTCGCCCTCTTCTTGAGTACGGGAGTGCTGTCTGGGATCCGCACACCATCAGATGTGTAAACCAGTTGGAGATGGTCCAGAGACGAGCAGCGAGATATGTTCTCAGCCGCTATCATCACACATCTAGCGTCTCTGACACGCTGAGTCAACTTGGATGGACCTCCCTCCAGAAGAGAAGAGAGCATCAACGTCTCACCTTACTGTACAAGATGCACCACTCTTTGATTAAATTTGACATCCACCACTACATCCAAACGGCAACAGTCGTAAGAACTCAAGATCGTCTCGTCTTTACTGTATTTATCTTGTCATGCAGTCACGAACAGAGCAATTACACTTTCACTCCTTCTTTCCTCGCACTGTTCGACAGTGGAACGCTCTCCCTCTTGAGGTTGTCCTGGCTCCATCAGTGGAAGCCTTCCAGCGACAACTAAAGACCGGGGGGGAAGTAAATTCCGGCAATTTTTTTACTGGCACTATGTATACACCTCTCACCTGCACACCTGGGCATCCCCATGTCGCCACACACATGCACTCGCCCATATCTGCAAAAATCTTCAGCAGTGAAGGAGGCAGATTATTTTGAAGAAGAAGAAGAAGAAGAATTTGGAATTATGTGAGCCAAATATTGGTACGTACCAGCATTGAATGGGGAGGGGGTGCAGGGAGGGGCGATTTCCCCCTCCCTCCTCCGCAAAGCGCCGAAGCTTTGACGTTTCATTAAATTATTAGAGAAAGAAGACGATTCGTTGTACCGTTCTCGAAAATAATCCTCGTCTGAATACAGTTTTCCCCCTCCCGCGCTTTTAACGTTTCATTAAATCATTAGAGAAAGAAGACGATTCGTTGTACCGTTCTCGAAAATAATCCTCGTCTGAATTCAGTTCCGCCACCTCCTGCGCGAAGCGTGGAAGCTTTGTAATCTCAATAAACAAGACGATTCGTTGTACCGTTCTCGAAAATAATCCTTGTCTGAATTTCAAAAATGTTTTTTGTCTGCTCCGTTTTCTTCCTATGTCCTCTTTTTTTGGCCGGCGTTTTTTTTTTTTGGGGGGGGGGGGCCGCCCCCACCACCCCCTGGCTACGCGCCTGCGGTCACATGAACATATTTTGATACCTTATCCGCCCCCGGAAACTCAGGGGTTTAACGCAATAAATTACGATCAGATGAGCATTCAGTGGCTCGCCTTAGGGCCCCTGATGGGGTTCAGGGTGCGGAGTGTCAATTACCGTCAGATGAGGCATATTTTGATACCTTATTTGTGACACATACACTATTATTTTTATTATTATTATTAAATAAAAACATTAAACAGAGTTCGATACACCACTAAAAACCACCTGCATGTTGTAAGTACAAAGTGAAAACAGCAGCTGGTAAATGAACTAATGAATATCCAAATTTATAAATATCTTACTCCTCCTTATTTCCGTGATCTGAAAAGATACAGGTACTTTCAATAAACACCTGTGATACATCCTGGTCAGGGCTGTTATATACAACATTCAAGCATTTTGCACTCTGTGCTCCATCAATGTTTGCTGAATAATGCAAATACTTTTATATTTTTTTCAATTTGAATTTATAATTCTATTATATATATATATATATATATATATATATATATATATAAATCACCAATAGCAATTACGTATTTAAATGTTTTATAAGTGAATGGTTTGTCGTGAACTAGTCGAAGGCAAGTATATAACTTCATTTGATGCATTTCCTTTGTGTCTACACTAAATTACCTGAAACTTAGTGTATCAATGTGTTGTAAATGAAGATTGTAAAATGTGAAATATGAACAATAAAATGAAATTGAAAAGAAAAAAGAAAAACAAATCGCAACTGTTCTCCCCTTCTGTTCACCCGTTCTTTTCTTCTTTCTCTTCTTTCTTTCCCCTTCTCTCCTCTTCCCCTTCTTTTCCTTCTATATCTCTCTCTCTCTCTCTCTTTTTTTTGCGGGGGGGGGGGGGGGCAAGGCCCGCTCGCCCCCTGGATCCGCGCCTGTATAGCAACCCAAAGCTATTGATTTGATTTCCACAAAAGCGACAGTTTTGCCCACATGTGTTTTAACTGCATGAATAATACGTGTATTAAGGACGTGTTTGGTGTGTTTACACCGAGTTAACTATATAACTTATAACCTATAAGTAAAACCTCTAATTACCATGGATCTGGTGTCAACAAATGGATAATTGAAATACCTTCTTCTTGCTGTCTGTTGTGCATCGAGATCACTGATGGAGCGAAGAAATGTAACTATCCCTAAGAGTAGTGAAGGACTTAATCCTTTTAAGGAAGACAGATTCTTTTACCATTCTTGACCAGAAGTAAGCGGACACTTTTTTTTTTTTTTGGAGGTCAAAAAAAATCGCAACGACTCAGCCAGCCGAAAAGTCGCTCAGTGGGGGGGGGGGGGGGGGGGGGGGGTGTAAGCGGACACATTATTTTTTTTTTTTGGTCTCGAAATTTCATAATTTGACATTTTTGTCGTTGGGGGGGGGGTAAGGTCACCTTATTTAGGTTAGCTGTGGGTATAATTTTTTTTTTTTTTTTTTTTTTTTTTAAATAATAAAAAAAAAAAAAAAAAAAAAAAAAAAAAAAAAAAAAAAAACAAAGGGGGGGGGGGGGGGGGGTTTTAGGTTTTTTTAGGGGGGTTTACATACATAAAAATACCAAAGGGGGGGGTTTGAACCCCTAAACTTCCCCCCCCCCCCTGCGTACGCCCCTGCGTGTGACGTCCCATTCAAGGCAGTGTATTAAAAGGACGTCGACCTGGCGTCGATCGTAGCAATCCCCATTGTCTTCGCATCATCCCATATTCCCATTGAGTGTTGTCTACGGTATTAAGGTCGTAATCTACTACTGAATGAGATGGAATGCCTTAATGAGGGCTTTATTGCACTTTAAAAAGAGCACTCAATATGGGCACTAGACCTTTAATTTCAAGGGATGGATTAGAGTTTTTATCGCCCACGACGACTATCTAGATGTTTTGAATTGCCAAACTCGAGAGCGTCCTGGGGCTTTGCTCCGGAACCCCCAGCAAGGACTCTGCCAGGCCCCCCCCCCCCCAAATCTCTACCATGTTGAACGGATCCATTAGAAAGTAAAATAAGCTCAAACAACTCATTTATATATAAATATGTGCTCTGTATAATTATGTGGTCTGTCTCTTGACCCAATCCAGTAGGGCTAGCGTTTAGGGGCGATTGCAGTGTGCTTCGCGCACTCGTTGCCTTCGACCCCCCCCCCCCTTTGAAAAATTCTGGTATTACCGCCGCTGAGAAATGTATAGTTTTACCCCTTTCCTCTCAATGAGTATAAATTGTTATCAGAGGTGAAAATAAGCACGTATTAGAAGGGGAAGGGTTACTGCTTAAAAAGGAAAATGTCACTTTTCAAACGTAAAAAAGGCACCCCCCTACCGAGCGCCGCCCTGAGCACAATGTTTTATTTTTCCCCGTTTTTTCCCGTTTTTTCTCTAGTCTCTTTCCTGACATTGTATCTCCTTTCTCTCTCTCTCTCTCTCTCTCTCTCTCTCTCTTTCACGCCTACTAATTGGCATCCCTTCGTTAAAAAAAGTTTAGTCTTAGTGGAAGCAGACAAATCCAGGGGGGAGATTGTAGAAATCGAACAAAGAAGAAAGTCATAAAAAATTGACACTCCGTTGAGATCGATAACTTTCTCCTTGTCAAGCTGGTCCTGATGTGTATTATAATGCGTTGGCCAGTGGTTCTCAAAGTTTATTCTTTGACGGTCCAGAAGTGATTTCTATGAAAGCTGAAAGTCCGAAATGACACTTATATACTGAAGATAATGATGCTTGTTTTGGGTCTATATCTGATACAAGGAGAATTGTTACAGTTTTGAAAAACAGAGCCAACAGTCATGCATGCAGTGCTTCCACTCGTTTGGATAGACTTTCCTGAAAAAGAACACCCAATTTTCCTGGAATTTGAAGAAATTTTCTTAAAACTTTCAAAATGCCTCATGAATCGCTATGACGTTTGAATATATATATATATATATATTTATTAATTATTGAGTGGGCTTATTTTGCTTTGGGGGTGGTAAGCGGACACTTTTTTTTTTTTGGTCTCGAAATTTGAAAATTTACCAAAGGGGGGGGTTGAACCCCCAACCCCCCCCCCCCCCCCTGCGTACGCCCCTGGGGCCCTCAGATAAGTCAGCAAGTAGCAAAACACGCCCTTAATACTGGACACAACATTCAATGGGATGATGCCCACACCATTCGGAGTTTGAAACGCACCACTGGTCAAGATGGTAGAAGAAGCATTTGCATAGAAATGATAAACCTTCACTGAATAGGGATTCTTGCTATACATTGTTATCTTTCTTCGCTCCAGTGATCTCGAGGCAGCAGACAACAAGGCGTTTCATCAACATTTGTCCGCCGACAACAGTACTGTCAGCGCTGACTAAATGTGACCAATCAGAGGCCTGGAAAATTGTCAGTGAAAATGCATGATGAAAACCATCGACTATTATGTTTCATGAAACGCCCCCTGGTTGTAACCTACCCTATTCATTAAGTACAGAGGCGGTCAGAGGAGCCAGATGTAATCTCAGCAGAACAACCGTCGATATCGGAGACTGAAGCTTTCGTTCTACATCGATACAGATTTGAGACTGGTAGAGACTGAACAGAAGAGTGAACTGATCTGAAGCTTTGCCTTTTGGTTAGTAGACTATTAATCCCGGCCCCCCCACTCAGGTTTCAAAATGACCGCATGCGTGTTGCCAAAATGTCCTTTTCGTAACAAAAGAAAAAGGTCGAGCCGTATTGACTTTACACACCGGACTTTTGCTGAAAAGGGGGGGTGCGGAAAAAGGCTCGTATACAAAAGAAAAAGGTCGAGCCGTATTGACTTTACACACCGGACTTTTGCTGAAAAGGGGGGGTCGGTTGGAACACGCATATGCGTACCCTAAATAACACTGAGTGGGGGGGCCGGGCTATTAATATTTAAAACTAAAAAACTTAAGGTCTCTTTCAGAGGTGTTTTTTTTAATCATTTGTAGTGAACACCACTAAATCGGAGGGGGCGTCCAAAAAATAGGCCCTTTTGACGAATAATAGTAATTTGTTGGGATCAACCAACATAAACAATTAAGTAAAACACGTGATTTTTTGCGATCTTTTTCGAAATATTGAATTTTAAACATCAAAAATTGTTATTTTCCATATACATGTATCACTCTCTCACTCTCTCTCTCCGAGATTCTGGAAGAATGCTGTGTTCTCAGCAGTCGGGCTTCCAGTTCAATTTCATTTTCTTCCTTCTCGTAGTTGGGTGTCTTATCGAAATCGGAGAGGTACCTTTTTCCGTAACTTTCCAGGAATTTGTCCATCTACAAGGAAAATATCCTTTGTAAAGGTGAGGCTTATATCTCTTTTCAGTGAAAGTTATAGCAACCCAAAGTTATTGATTTGATTTCCACAAAAACTACATTTTTGTCCAAATTTGTATTAACTGTATGTGTATTAATGTATTGAGGACGTGTTTAGTGTGTTTACATCGAGTTTCAAAGATAAAACCTCTAATCACCAATGGAATTGGTGTCAACAGATGGATAATAAAAAATACCTTCAAGTTGATATCAATTTCATTGAGTTATGTAGTGTGTGAAATATAAATTTTGAGCATATAAGTTGTTATGTCAGACATGTCAGACTAAACTAATATTCTAGAATAGACAATGGTATGTAATTTCCCCCAGCTTAGCACACGTTCATAATAGAATTGCATGCTTCCATACATAATGTACTATACATTTGTCTTCCTGGTGATACTACAGCATGTCTGACATAGCAACTTGTATGTTGCCACTGTGTTAAGTAATGTAACAGGTGGTCGACTTCGGCAAAGATACATACCACTTTCTCAAGTAAGCTCATTGATGACTGACAGATGATGTCACAAGAGGACACTTTTTTTTTTGGTCTCGAAATTTGAAAATTTGACATTTTTTTTTTTCGTGGGGGGGGGGGGGGGTAAGGTCACTTTACGTTAGCCGTGGGCATAATTTTTTTTTTTTTTAATTTAAACAAACAAACAACAAAAAAAAAAAAAGGAAGGGGGGGTTTTAGTTTTTTTTAGGGGGGTTTACACACATAAAAATACCAAAGGGGGGGTTTGAACCCCCAAACCCCCCCCCCCCCCCCTGCGTACGCCCCTGGGGCCCTCAGATAAGTCAGCAAGTAGCAAAACACGCCCTTAATACTGGACACAACCATGGGATGATGCCCACACCATTCGGAGTTTGAAACGCACCACTGGTTAAGATGGTAGAAGAAGCATTTGCATAGAAATGATAAACCTTCACTGAATAGGGATTCTTGCTATACATTGTTATCTTTCTTCGCTCCAGTGATCTCGAGGCAGCAGACAACAAGGCGTTTCATCAACATTTGTCCGCCGACAACTGTCAGCGCTGGTTGTAACCTAACTTTATTATGTACAGAGGCGGTCAGAGGAGCCAGATGTAATCTCAGCAGAACAACCGTCGATATCGGAGACTGAAGCTTTCGTTCTACATCGATACAGATTTGAGACTAGTAGAGACTGAACAGAAGAGTGAACTGATCTGAAGCTTTGCCTTTTGGTTAGTAGACTATTAATATTTAAAACTAAAAAACTTTAGGTCTCTTTCAGAGGTGTTTTTTTTAATCATTTGTAGTGAACACCACTAAGTCGGAGGGGGCGTCCAAAAAATAGGCCCTTTTGACGAATAATAGTAATTTGTTGGGATCAACCAACATAAACAATTAAGTAAAACACATGATTTTTTGCGATCTTTTTCGAAATATTGAATTTTAAACATCAAAAATTGTTATTTTCCATATACATGTATCGAAATCGGAGAGGTACCTTTTTCCGTAACTTTCCAGGAATTTGTCCATCTACAAGGAAAATATCCTTTGCAAAGGTGAGGCTTATATCTCTTTTCAGTGAAAGTTATAGCAACCCAAAGTTATTGATTTGATTTCCACAAAAACTACATTTTTGTCCAAATGTGTATTAACTGTATGTGTATTAATGTATTGAGGACGTGTTTAGTGTGTTTACATCGAGTTTCAAAGATAAAACCTCTAATCACCAATGGAATTGGTGTCAACAGATGGATAATAAAAATACCTTCAAGTTGATATCAATTTCATTGAGTTATGTAGTGTGTGAAATATAAATTTTGAGCATATAAGTTGTTATGTCAGACATGTCAGACTAAACTAATATTCTAGAATAGACAATGGTATGTAATTTCCCCCAGCTTAGCACACGTTCATAATAGAATTGCATGCTTCCATACATAATGTACTATACATTTGTCTTCCTGGTGATGCTACAGCATGTCTGACATAGCAACTTGTATGTTGCCACTATATTAAGTAATGTAACAGGTGGTCGACTTCGGCAAAGATACATACCACTTTCTCAAGTAAGCTCATTGATGACTGACAGATGATGTCACAAGGGGAATGAGATCTGGAGGTTATTAAAAAGTGAATATGCATGTGACACCTGTTCTACACATTTTTACATAATAGCAGTGAAGGGATGTTCCTTTGTCTACCTGAGGAACTGTATATTTTGTCCGCTTTCTTTGTCATTCATAATCATAATGCTATTTGGCCAACTCGAGCTGATGAAGACAGGCCTACTGAGGGCTCTGTGATCTCGTTTGAGAGAAGGGTACAGTATGGAAAACTCTGCACCGAAATGGGATTCTCCTTAATATGAATAGTAGTCCAATGTTGGCCTGCACCATTATAGCTGATCTGTTTTTGTGACTGAATTGCTAACCAAATAATTAATAAACTTATTTACAGATTTTGTAATTGTATTGGGGAAATCAGAAATATAAATATTGCTTCTGTACATTTTCCAGTGTGTGAAATGAGAATTTGACCTTTAAAAGCAATTGGGGTGATAGAGTTTTCTAAACTGGATGAAGTTAAGTTTATATGCAGATTTGATGAACGTTTTATTGTTTGAATGTCGGGGATGAATATTTAGTAGAAATAATAATATAGGCTACACATTAGTGTAGTCACAAAACTCTTTGGTTTCGATACAAGTTTTAGATTATATTCAATTTCAAAATGTTTTTACATATGTTAATATATGTGTATCCAATAAAAATTAACTTCAAATATTAGAAAAAAGGGGGGGGGGTGTAGATGAGTTCTGCAACAGAGACGAACCATCAACTGTGCTATCTAACGCAAATTTCAAGAATAAGAATTCTCCATTTTCATTACCATAGCTATATATCTTGATTGAAAATATAGAACATAGAAAGTACCCTGCAGCTGTCATCTCATTTTCTCTCTTTATTTCTTCCCAACACCAGATAACAACAACAATGTCGGAAGCACCGATAACAGTCAAAGAAGGATGGATACTAAAACGAGGTGAGATAGCTTAATGAAAAATAACTCAATTTATAAACAACTCCTGTTTGTCGGAACATTAGATCCACCATTTCACGTATAGCTCATGAAAGTTATCAATCTTGGTACAAAATAATAATAGTAAATAATTCTTATGATGATTCTTAGTCAATATTCACTTCATAATGCTGATTATATTCAGAGAATTTCATATTTTAGGGCTTGCTCATAATTATGGGCCACCCTGCCTATAAATAATGTTCAAACCTCAATTTTTCATCATATTGAATTGCGTAATGCAGGCGAGACCGCCGAGAGCGTTTCCCTTGTTTATTGCATAAAATAGTCTGGCCAATTTTGAGTACTTCTTGTCTCACAAGTGCTACTGTAATGCCGTAGACAGTACAGCCAGCGACATGCAGGGTGATGGGTAGTTGTAGATGCCTTGAGAGATATGGGAGATCAGGTTGGATGATACATGGGCTAGCTGTAACTAGTAAGTAGGGTATCTTACTAGAGCACCTGTGAATGATGTTCTAGTTGGTCTTGTACCTTAAATTGCTGGAGAACGGTGCAGCAAGATCAGGCATTTTTTCCCCGGTAGGGCTAGTTCGTAGCTTAAAGAGAAGGCTCATTGATTTAAAAAACTAACTTTAATGTCATTATTGCAAAGGTGACATTTTGATTGGCCAAGGTTATCAAAAGCCAATGCTTGGAAACATTCGAAGTAATGATTATTAACAATTACAAAACGCTTAGATACAGCCCCGACATGGCACCTGAAAAGCTCCCCGGTCGCTGCTGAGATATGACGTCACATGTTGAACATGATGTGCACAAGCAGACGATGTCTCATGACATCTCACACAATTTCAGTGCCTGTTTTGTCATCTTTTCTTCAGTTATTTCTCTTACTTCAATACCCTCAGGCGAAATGTTTAATCTATTGCCTCACTCTAAACCCGGGACATGGTATTATTTTGATGAAAAATGCAAGGATTAAAAAAGAAAAGAATCCGTCCCTTGTAAATAAAATAAGACGCCATTGTATTTTCAGCTGCATACACCGCGGCATGTTCGGCGTTTCAAGTGTATTTATTTACAAACAAAATAATTTAGTTATCAGAATGGGGGTCATATCCCTTTTTGAATGGTGTAAAACTCCATCACATTTATATATACTAAACTCATAATATGAGAAATAAAAGCATTGCAATTATGTTCATTCTTTATAGGATGTCGTCTGCTTGGGTATGGTTGGTTCATATTGTGACGGCATTAAAACATCGTTATTTTTCCGGCCAATCTCTCGCAAATCCAAGATGCTATGGAGGTTGTTTTATTTGTATTTTTATAAACCACACGATATGTAGTTCACCTAAAACTTGCATGATGGCCATCTGTTAGCTTACCAGTTTCTAGTAATACGCTATTTGCCATATTTGTGATTTTCTATGAACCCGCACTTTAAGGTGCTTGCTATGTGTCATGATGCCATTCTCTTCATGCCCGTGACAGCACAATTGAACCAGGGAGATGAAAGAAAGGAGTGGTAACTCTTGTAATTTATTCAAACGCATTCGTGAGTTCTAAAGCGTAACAATAGGATGTGTAACATTCCACTTTGTTTTGAAGTTCCATGCTCCGAACCGCGTTTCCACTGTGGGGAATTTCGGAGGCCATGCATGCACCAGTTTCACATTTATTACAAAATATCAAATTACCGGCAAAATTTAAGTGTAAATTATAAACTTTATATGGGGAATGTAATGGGAGTAGTGCATCAAACAAATTTTCCAATTTAGTACTCCGCCCTTCCTATAAATTTGTGTGCCAGAGTTGGTAAAAGAAAAATTAGATCCTGACAAAAACTCAACATTTTAGGATAATGCGCTAATTTGTGCGTGTTTTAATGCCCCGTTATTAAATCCATGATGTCATGGAGTTACTCCATGCTATAAGTTGGGTTTTCTGTATTTTTGCAGTTGGAAAAAGGATGAAATTACACAGTTTTTGTTCGCTTGTTCTACTCATTACACATTTAACAATTGATGGGGGGGAATGGGAGCCCCCCCCCCTGTGATTTAATGTCCGATGAACACGAAAATTTGCATGTTTGTAGATATTTACGTAAGGAACAAGATGGTATAATTAGTTTTTTCCTAATATGCAAATTTTTGTCGTTATAGCCTAGTTAATTATGCAAAATGCTAATTTTATGCAATTCAAGAAAACTCTACATATTTGTCTGAAGACTTGTGAAGAATCTTGTAAAAGTATTGAATAAATGTTTCCTTCATCTCAAATTCATGAGGTTTCATTATGTTTATGATATGTGAAAATGCATAGGTTAATTTGCATAAATTATGAATACGCAAATTACGCATTCATGAATATCAAATCTGGAAATAGTACAGGGAACTAGAATCATTACAAAAATTGTCAGACTCCACTTTTTGAATGTTGAAACTCATTATTCATATGAAACTCATTATTCATATGAAACTTCTTTTCTGACAAAAAAAATAGTTATTTTGATGTAATTAATAATGATAATTTATGCAAATTTGATGCGATTTTCAAATATTTATTTTCTTTTGTATTTTACTGTTTTTTTAATTTCTTATTATATCTATTGTTTTATTTCGAATGTATTCTTTTGTTCTGGAATTCATCAAGTTACTTTGAAAAACTTATAAAAGCAATTTAATATCAATTCATACATCTAAACCTGTATTCACAAGTTGTGCATGAATATTATGCAATATTATTATAGCACTTTTTGATGACATGCGCATACTAATTATGTAACACCTTACAGGTATATCCGATTTCGACGAAAATGGTATCAAGATGTGCAAAGACTTAAGGAAAACAAAGTCATGAAACGACAATTCAAAGTTCCAAGCGGTTGCGGCGCAATCTCCGAAAATGTCGGGGGGGGGGGATCCCAGCCCCCCCCCCCCCCCCCCCAGTACAGTAAGGGTTAAAGGTACTATATACCTTTGGCAGCCAACCTCAAATTCTGTAGAACTTTGCAGGAATTATGAGTAAGTCATGTATGTCCTATTTGTGAAATTTAAACATTAGCAGTGTCCTAATATTTAAATTGTGCAAGGAAACCCGTTTACTTGCTTGACTTCACTGTCAGACACTATTGAGTGAGTGACTGGCTTTTTTTCTTCTTTGGTAATAATATACATAGCATGAGCTGTAAAGGGTACATGAGCATTTGTCTACATCAATAACCCACTTCTTGTAATGGCCAAAATTAAACTGATTGAATCTTTGCGCAGCATAAATCGTAGGACCATTCGGTACAATGGTCTGAAAATCAAGACTATTACTTATTGGCTCTATAGCTCCTAAGTCGATTTGACAACTAATAGTCGTTATTTTCCCACTTGAAGACATTTTCAAGCCCCACCTTTTTAAAGGAAGTTCTACATTAGCATTATCTTTCAAATGCCGTTGGAATTTAACCTTTTCATTTTTGGGCCTGCAAATGGGACATAGTAGGATGGGCTCACATGGAGCCAACGGCCAGCTACCATGGGAGAGTTTGGTACCTCACCATGTATTGTCTGCAACATCATAAATAAGTACAAACAGAAAGAAAAACGAGATGCAAGCCCGACTGGTCCCCGAACAATTAGTCCTGCTGTAAATAGACTTCGGGAAGAGTTGCTGCCTTTTGCAAATAAGGTACGTTATAATAGCCAACCTAGTTCAAAGCCTTCGGGAAGATTAGGTTGTGATGCTCTGTCCCTGAAAACAAGAGGAAATCGACTGCGCATTGCGACATGGAATGTTAGGACGTTGTATAAGGCAGGGAAATTAGATAACCTCATTCAGGAGGCTGATAGGATGAAACTAGATATTATAGGTATTGCGGAAACTAGGTGGACTGATAATGGATGCGTGAAGAGAGATGATTAGACCTTCATATACTCTGGAGGAGAAAAACACCAACATGGTGTTGGATTTTGGAATGTTAACACATTCTAGGTTACTGGATGAGAGAATGATGTTAATGCAGCTGAAAGCTAAACCGTTTAAACCTAGCAGTAATTCAAGTGTATGCCCCAACCAGTGATTCAAGTGATAAACAAGAAGAAAAGTATTACGATCAAATAGATGAAATGCTAAAGCATTGTAAATCAACAGAAGTTGTTAGCGTGATAGGTGATTGGAATGCTAAAGTCCGAGAAAGTAAGGATGGAAAGATTGTTGGACAATAATGGACTAGGCCATCGTAATGAACCGGGTGATCGACTTGTTCAGTTCTGTAAGGAATATGATCTAGCGATAACCAACACCTTTTACCAACAACATAAAAGAAGAACGTACACCTGGAAAAGCGATTCTGATCACAACCCGGTGATTGCAGAAATCGAAATAAAGCTAAAGAATACACTCCCCAGAACAAAAAGAAACCCTCTTCCGGATGTCACAGCTCTAAATAAAACAGACATAGCAGAAAAATACTTTATGGAAGTTAGAAATAGGTATAATTGTCTAGTCACAGAATAAATAAAACAAACAAATAATGAAGTAAATGACATTGAGAAACTAGAAGTGGAATGGAAATGCTTGAAAAAAAAGCATTCAGCATAGAAATAAGACACTACCAACTAAAAAGGAACTAGCGAAACAACCATGGATGACAGAAAAGATTCTGAACTTGATGCAGGAGAGGCAAAAGCAAGTCAGAAACTCCAAATCATACAGAGACATCGATAAGGAAATTGATAATGAATGTAAAAGAGCAAAAGAAGAATGGCTAAATAAAAAATGTGTTAGAAATAGAATTGAGCATTTCTCCAAGACAAACCAAACAAATGAAATGCACAGAGAAATCAAGCATTTTAAGAAGAAGACAGACGAGGCAGCAAGCGGATGTATCAAGAACAAGGATGGAACATCTTATCTCTTTGAAAGGGATGATATTAAACAAAGATGGGAAGAATATATCCAAGACCTGTTTGATTATGATAGAGGTCCAGAACTTCCAATCACTGACAACGAGGGTCCAAGTATACTTGAATAAGAAGTTAAACAAGTTCTGCATTCACTGGGAACTTCTAAATCTGAAGGCCCAGATGTGATAACACGGGAAGAACTTGTGGCTTTAAAAGAATTTGGGATTGAACATTAAATTTTGACTAGTATTTGTCAAATATACAATACAGGTCATATTCCTGAAGATCTGAAAAAGTCGATATTTGTGCCAATTCCAGAGAAGCCTAAGGCAAGTGTATGTGAAGATTTCCGGACAATTAGCCTTATGAGCCATGTAACCAAGTTGCTCTTAAAGATCATTCTCAACAGAATAAAAATTCAAATTGACATTGAAGTAGGTAAGGAACAGTTTGGTTTTAGAACTCAAAGTGGTACTAGAGAAGCAATATTCTGTATGAGAATGATGACAGAAAGGTATATTGCTGTAAATAAAGAAATATATGTGTGCTTTATTGACTACTCTAAAGCATTCGACAAAATTCACCACGACAAATTGATTGAAAGCTTTTAAAAAATTAATCTAGATGGTAAGAACATACGTCTCATATCTAAACTTTACTGGGAGCAGACAGCTGCCATCAAAATTAACAATGAAATTACAGGTTACACAAAAATCAAAAGAGGAGTACGTCAGGGATGCGTAATGTCCCCATCTCTGTTCAACTTGTGCACATAGTTGGTATTCAGGGACATTTCAGATATGAAAGGTGGTAGTATTGGGGGTGTAAATATTAATAATTTACGTTATGCTGATGACACTGTATTTTGCGCAGAGACTGAAGCAGATTTACAACATGTATATATTGTAAAGTTCAAAAGTGAAGAGTTTGTTCTAAGCATGAATGTCAAGAAAACTAAGTCAATGATTTTTAGTAGGACAGAGAATAAGCCTATAATATGTTTGAAACTCGATGGACATATCATTGAGCAGGTCAGTAATTACATCTACTTAGGACAAAATATCACAGATGATGCCAGATGCGAAGCAGAAATAAAAATAAGAATAGAAATTGCTCGGAATACATTTCTGGCAATGAAAGGATTATTCAAAAAATAGAAAGGTGAAATTTGCGCTTATGGGGGGTTTCCACTGCCGATCAAACCAACCCGACCAAGGTCGAGGAAGGTTTATGAATATTTTATAGAGAAGTTACAAAATGTATTTGTCTTGAAGATTCATGATGGACGGGAATTTTCAGATTTTTCAAATGAGGTATGTCGGGAGATATTTAGTATGCCTAGGAAAGTTACTCTTGTTAACAGACTAAGAAAATTTCGTATGAACTGCTTCATGGAGCAATATATACTAGAGAACATTTATTCAGATTCGGCTTTGTTGTAGATAACTTGTGCTCATTTTGTAAGCAAAAGATAGAAACATATTTACACTTGTTCTGGAAGTGTGTACATGTTCAAAGAATATGGCAAAATGTAATAGCTACGTTTGAGGTAAGGGAATTAAGGTCTATCGACTGGATAGATATTCATTTAGGGTTGTCCGGTAACTCCCCACGAATAAAGATTTTTAATACAATTACTTTTGCAATGAAATATTGGATATATAGATGCCTGGGGAAAGTCCGTAATATTGCAGGGAGGGCAGGTAAATTAGCCTTACATTTATCCAGAAGGGGGAACAAGTGAAGTTTTCATGAACTGTTTACACTGGCTACTGTGGCTATCAAAAATAATAATAATAATAATTTGTTTTTTTTATAGCGCATTTCATGTCTGTTGGCATTTCAATTCGCTTTACATTGTTACAATATACATAATTATATAAAGTATAACACGATCATAAAAGTAAGGTGAAACAGAAACATATAGAAAACAATGAAGTACTTACTAAGAGAAAAAAATACAATACTACTTCTCCTTAAATACTACTTATCCTTAAATACTATTGATGTGCTAACTTGAAAAGATGAGTTTCGAGTTCAGATATGAATGTTTTAATATATACAACGTAATGTGTTTGGGAGGTCATTCCATAAAAATGATGCTATATGAGTGAAAGCTCTATCACCATGCTTGTGTTCTGCCTCTATCAGCTATTGTAGCCTCGTTTAAATGATTTTTTTAATTTAAAAAAAAATAGATTGTTTCTGTTTGTCTATCGCTCCAATTTGGGGTATTCTGAGGAGGAGCAGTGTGCGGTGGAAGTGTGATCGGGTGGTGTGTGTGTGTCGCATGGTGGTGGGGAGGGGGGGGGGGGAGGGGGTAGTAGTGTGTTTGGTTGGATGGGGTTATTTGTTTTATGTTACAACTGAATTCATTTTTGTATTCATCAATTGTACAATCTATTTAATGAAAATGTGTTTGAATTCATGTCAAGGAAAAACAACTATTTTATTTCTAAAATTAATTTGTATTGTTTGGAATCGATAGAAAAAACTATTGAAAAAAAAGGGGGGAAAAAAAGTACCTCAATTTAAAGCTGATTTACAATATATCCATGCGCCTTGTGAAATATGTGCTTTGTTGATTCTCAGAAATATAACAGCTAGAAATGTTCTGAGTGTTTTCTTTTCTTTCTTGCGTATATGCAATTTCATATTTTTGAATTGTGTTTATTCACTTTTATTTGTAAGAAAAAATATTAACTTTATAAGAGTTTAGGTCACAAACAAGTTATGAATTTTGAAAGTTGTAATCTCTATATGTTTGGGAACTGTAAATTGGCTGAATCGGCAGTGTCACTGGACAAAGCGCCAGACAACTTTCCCATTTGTTCCAACTAGGATAGTTGTCCGGGGGTAGTTGTGCTAGAGAGGGTGGTTGTCGTAGGGGGTAGTTGTCTGGGGTAGTTGTCCTAGAGGATGGTTATCCTAGGGGTGGATATCCGCAGGGTGGTTGTCCAGGGGGTAGGTGTCCTAGAACCCCCATTACTATTGTGCACGTGGGTTCAGAGAGAGAACTTAACGCCTTGTCTCAGGTCCTTTGCACTAGTCAATGGTTAAAAACCTCAGCCTCTTCATTTCAAGTCAAGTGAATGAACGGTGTAACCAGCAATATAGGCCTAATGTTATTGTAGTCTACAATAACAAAATTATTTGTTACTATTCCATTCTATTCTATTTTATACTATACTATTCTATACTAGACTTGACTAGACTATAATATTCTAGACTAGACTAGACTATTTTAGACTATTCTAGACTAGACTTGACTAGACTACACTACACTACACTAAACTAAACTCTACTACTTATGAAGGTTTATACCACGTCTTCAAGCTTAGAATATGTGGCAATCCTTTTTCATGATTATTTTGGGGGTTATTATATCAATGTTAGTATTTTACGTTGATGATGTATTAATTATATGATTTGTTTATTATCACGATTATGTTGTGATTAGTTTGTAACTTTGAAAAAAGGTCGGAAGGGTAAAAATATCAAATCAAACTATCTCCTTATTTGAGCCCTTTCTTCTCAAGTTCTAAATATTTATGTTCTTGTTTTCAGGTGAGTACATCAAGAACTGGAGACCCAGGTACTTCCGACTGAATTCCAATGGGGAATTTCGTGGTTACAAGGATGCACCTAAAGGGAAAGTAGAGCCAAATGCCCTCAATGACTTCCGCATAGAAAGTAAGTCATATCTCATGTTTTTTGTTGTTGATACTATATCCTCTACCCTACTATAACTAGACTATAGCATGCCATGCCATGCCATATACCATATCATACCACACCACACCACACCACACCACACCACACCACATCACACCACATCACACCACACCACGCCATCCCACATCAGTTTATCCCACACCAGCCCACATCATACCAAACCATACTATGATGTCATCTGTTTTTTTTAATTTTTTTTTAAAATTTATTTATTCACGGTGAACTCACATCAGTCTAAAAAGACTGCTTTTCAGCAAGTCCGTGTAAAAAGCATAAAACACAAATAATTATACATCAGTAAATACATAGAAAAAAACTACTTAAAGATGATTTACATGCATGAAATACAAAATTAAATAACAAACTATTGCATCAAATACAAAATTAAATAACAAACTATTGCATCAAATACAAAATTAAACTAACAAACTATTGCATCAAATAAAATAACAAACATAAAGATATATGATATAAAAGGTTTCATATGAATAAATTAGAAAGAACAAAATTAAGTAAGAAGCTAACATAACAGACATAGATAATATGTGTCATCAAAAAGTGTCATTTTAATCAATAGCCATAGGGGAAGAGTAAAATGGGATAGGATGAGAAAAGAACAAAGAAAGAGAGAATGTGATAAAATAGAGATAAAAGAAGAAGAGGTACGAGAAAAGAACAAAGAAAGAGAGATAGAAGAAGAGGGTGAGAGTGACGGACTAGAACAATGCATCTACCTCCAGTTCAAATTGCCGGGTAGTTGACAAGAGAGGTAAGGCATTGAATAATTGGACACATGAATAGATATATCCCTTTCGTTTGAAATTGGTTATGGTTTTTTCTAAAGTGAGTATATTAACATAATTCCTGAGCCTGTGGGTGTATTCTTTGAGGGAAATTCGTTCGCATAATGATTTAGGAAGCAAATTGTGTACTAGTTTAAAGATTAGTGCTAGGGCATGTTTTTTTTCCAACGTATATCAACACGATCAACTTTTAGGATAGAATAGAGCAGATTTGTGTTGAAACGGCTATCGACAGACAGAACTACTAGCAGTGCTCTATTTTGAATTACTGATATTTGCTTAAGATGAGTTTTGCAAGCATTTCTCCATGATGCCGAATAATCAAAATGAGGTTGCAAAAGGGTTTTATATAACATTACGGCTGTATCTTGCAAAATTAATGGTCTCACATGTTTTAAACAATATATACTGGATAACGCTTTTTTTTCTTTACGTGTGTGACTTGATCTTGAACCAGAAGAGCATTAACTCTGTAGAGAGGTGTTAGAGAAGGAGTGGAAACTCTTGTAATTTATTTAAACGCATGACTGAGTTCTAAAGCGTAACGATGGGATGCGTAACATTCCACTTGGCTTTGAAGTTCCATGTTCACTGCGGGAATTTTTGGAGGCCAGGCACCAGTTTCACATTTATTAAATTACCTGCAAAATTCTAGTGTAATTATAAACTTTATGTGGGGATTGCATTAGGAATATTATAGTGCATCAAACAATTTTTTTAAATTTATTTCTGCGCCCTTCCTATAATTTGTGCGCCAGAGTTAGTAAAATAAGAATTAGATCCCTACAAAAACTTAATATTATACAAATAATACACAGGTGTAACTGCGTTATGTGCGGTGCAGCGCATGAGGTATTCACTAATCACTATGGTGCAATCAAATTCACGAGGCGTAGCCGAGTGTATTTTGTGCCATTGTGAATACCATATTAGAGCGCTGCATCGCCATAACGTCACAACGAAAACCTGTGTATTATTTGTTTTATAAAATGGGTCGACAATCTTACTTGGCAAGGCCTAAGATGTCTCCCAGCAACCTTCGTCCACAGTTAATATTACCAAAATGCACTCCATGCACAGACGATCGCGACAGCAGTGGCCTCGTAAACAAACTGGGCATAGCATGGTGCGACTTCTCGTAAACATCCATTGAATTACACGCAGTGTACATTATGCTTTTTTTTTATTATTAATTGCACCGTTTGTGCAAGGTTGTTATCACCACAATGCAATCCCTGTGCATAACAATTAATGCATGCACACGTGATCCATTTCGAAGCTTAATTCTCATTGGCTACATTCTTGAACCCATTTTATAATGGAGGATAATCCCACTGTTTTCGCATGTTTTAATGTCCCGTCATTAAATCCATGATTAACAATCTTCGATAACTTTAAGTTTGCCTTCGTGTGCTTTTTGTATTTTTGGAATTGGAAAAAATGTATTAAATTCAAAAGTTTGTGCTCGCTGGTTCAACTCAGTACACATTCAACAATTGATGAGAAATCATTGAAAGCGACAGCGAAAATTTGCTGAGATACCATTTTCTGATGTAGGGATTCTAAATCCTAATATTTCATGCGCTCTTTTATCGTGCCCGGTCAACAGTACTGTTGCAGCTTAGCGCATAACTTTTCGGCGACTTGGAGCATGGGATCAAAGGAGAGCGGCTTGATTCCACTCCTTCTCTATCACCTCCCTGCTCTGTATAAGAGAATGAGTTACCACCCTTCTGCCTCTAAACAGATGAAATGAGAACTAGTTACTCAAATAATTTGACATGACTGTGTTTTATCTTGCCGCATATTTTTCTTCTGAATTTCATATTTTTCAGCCAATCCAGTTTTTAAATAATGTGTTCTGCTTTTTTACAATGAAGACATTTGTTGCCTAAAAAAAAGTTAAGTTGAATGAAGGTTAATTCAACTCGATGTGTTGAAACTGCACATGAAAAGAGAAAGCTTGTGACAATTCCACATATATAGGGAAAAGGGGCACAGTAATAATAATAATAATAATAATGAACGTTCTTTGTATAGCGCATATCACTAACACAAAGAAAATCCTTATGCGCTTAGAAAAGAAGCAAATGGAGATAGGGCGGAATAGAAATGAACATTTATGTCTGATACATGAAAATAATTAATTACTAGCAACAATAATCATACGCAGTTTCTATATAGCTTACATGTAATAGATTGTACATTTAGGTAGTATTCCATGCCTACACAACTAACACATGTAAATTATTAATTTATTGTGCAGCAAATATCTTATCTCAAAGAGCAGAACGCAATCTTTCCATAACTTTATGGACCAACATTTTAGAAATTCAGACTAAACATATTTGTACTTTCAAACTCATAATTTTCTTGATTCTTTTGCTTGTGCCCTGCAGAATCAATGATCTTGAAGTCAGAGAAACCCAGACCCAACACATTCATCGTTCGCTGCTTTCAGTGGACCACTCTAGTAGAGAGGACGTTTGCCGCAGATTCATGTGAAGAAAGGTAAGAAACAAAACCTCAAAGTACCCGTCCTACTAAATTAAAGGTGCTTTGACAATTGATCCAGGCTTTATTTCGTCAGAAATAAATTGTCTGTTTAGAACCAGAAGGGCATTTCCTTTTGTTAAAGTAAATGAATTACTGCCCTTCTGGCGTCAAACAGACGAAACTGGGTTTAATCTGGGTTGTTAGAGCTATATTTAGCCCAGAGGTAGCTCATACTATATTATTACGATTTCTACCGGGCTCCAAGAAGGGCGCCCTCTGGGGCCGCCGTATTGGGCAAATCCAAAATGGCCGCCATCTGAGCTAAAGGTCAAGACGTTTACACTTAGTGTAGTTCCAAAAGGAAAAGGCTATTCTGATAAAGGTTGATATATTCGTAGGGTTTTCGGGGTCGGATAACCTGATTATGATGTTCGTTTCATGTCACAATCCTGTCGTAAGGCTAATGAAGTCCATTTCCTGGTCAAAGAAGATGCGCTTAATTCACACTCGAGTGGGTTGATGACGACACCGTATTTCGAGAGTCGGGAGAAGAGTAGCTGTTGAATATGTTCCTCTTGTGTCTCACTCGCGATGAGGAGGTCGTCGATGTAAGCGTACACAAAATGGTAGACCATGAGTTACCTCATCAATGACCGTTAAAAAGTCTGTGCGGCATTTCGTAGCCCAAGGCATGCGCACGAATTCATATACCCCAAGAGAGTGGTGATGGCTGATTTGTGTACGTCTACTGGGTCGACTGGAATTTGTTTACGCTCTGATGAGATCGAGTTTGGAAAAAAATCGCTTGCCTGCTAGAGCTGAGGTGAAATCTTGGAGATGGGGAATCTGTTATTTATCGGGCACTGTATTCCTATTTAGTGCACGGTGGTCACCTCACGGTCTCCAGTCTCCGGTGGTTTTCTTGGTCACCATAATAAGCGCCCACTTGCTGCTAGAAGGTCGGACGATGCCTAATTCTAGCATATGTGGTCGAATTTAGATCGGGCAATGTTGTACCTGTCGGTTGCTAAGCGACGATGACGGGCTGATACATATGAGGGCCTCTGGTCTTGATGTGATGTGTGACCAGGCGCGTACGCAGGGGGGGGGGGGGGGGGGGGGGGGGGGAGGGTTTTTTTAATTGAAAAAAAAAATTGTGCTCAAGGAGGCAAAATAATTTTTAAATCGTGCCGTTCCCCCCCCCCCCCCCCCCCCCCCCCTTATTCAGCGGCTGACTGAGCCGTTGCGAAATTTCCCCTCATAAACTGGACAAAAAAAAAAGTCTTCAGCTTCCTCACTCTCAGGTTCAGGTTCCAGTTCAGGGACCGGGTCAGCAGTAGCCTCTTGTCGATGCCCTCGCGCTGTTGGAGTCTCTAAAATCTGACGAGCGAAGCGAGTCAGAGAAACCGAGGCGCTTGCGCGGAGGGCCTCTTGACAAGTGATCTGAATTATATATTCATGAGACCCGATTTCCTACTGAATTATGCATTATAGACCGCAACGATTGTGTGTGTGTACGTGTGTGTTCGGGATTGCCCAACTAGGCTAGTCTGCAAGCACAGACCCTAATTTGACACCTTATCAAAAAATCATTGTGCCTTGAGAGAAGCCTAGCCCAGCTATCTACTGGTACCTACTGGTTGTACCAATATAGGTCAGGAGCAGCTATAGTACGTGGCATATGGTAGTCTTATAGTGCACACTCTCTTTTACGACTGACCAGGGTTTGTGCTTGCAGACTACAACTAGGCGGCCAGTCTCGCTCTGACGGAGGGAATTCGCACAGAGCGGTAGATATTACGTCATAGTAGCTCTCTCTGATTGGATGACTTTCACCGAACTCTGCTGGGTCGGAATATTCGCCAAACAAAGTAAAACATAAGAAATTCAGGGCACTTGTCAAGAGGCCCTCCGCGCAAGCGCCTCGGTTTCTCTGACTCGCTTCGCTCGTCAGAATTTAGAGACTCCAACAGCGCGAGGGCATCAACAAGAGGCTAGGTCAGCAGCAGCAGTATGCTCCTCTTCATCTGGCGGGGGTATCCGGCGAGGATCTTCAGGCTGCTCCTGCACCTCTACTGGTGGTGGTGGTGCAGGACGTAGGGCCTTCGTACGTCTTGGCTTATTCGGTGGCATAGCTTTGCCTTCTCTCTTCGTATTGTAGTTGCAATGTGACGCCGACTGCTCAGACTCGAATGAACCTCCTGCCGGGCCTGGCTTAATTTTATCCCTCCCAGACCGCGCACGCCGTGCCTCAGAACGAAGTAATTAAAACGCAACGCGATGTAGCGCGCCGGGCCAGGATGCACCGTGATTGAACGCGACGAAACGGCTTCCATACACCCTAGCTTGCCGTGAGGACCGTGGAAAAACGTGGCAAAACGTGGCTAAACGGGACAAAATGCGCCGCAACCGTGACAAAACGTGCACTAAACGTGGCAGAACGTGACAAAACTTGAAAGGAGCGTAAGACGCAGGGGAATGTATACAGGCCGTCCCACTACGGACCACCCCAAGTTTTGTTACGGCATAATACGTACTGTCACGTTTTGTTGCGTTCACCCCGTTTAAGGCAAATTTTTTGACAGTTTAAAAATCTGACACGGCATCCACGGCAATCACGGCCTTTCACGTTTGCCCATGCATTCCTTCCCCCGCGTTGTCTCACGTCCATCCCATTTTGTCCACGGTTGCCTGAAACGTGATTGCCGTGGCCGCCGGGAACATAGTGTAAACGTAGCATTTTATACGCAATCTTTACACAAATCCTCAAAATCTACTTAACATTAGTTAAGTACCCCCAACAACCTATAGAAAGCCATGTATGGAACCTCGATCGGCAGACTCACAGTGCCGACGATCTCCGATCTTAGCGGGGGGAGGATATACAAGAGAGAGAGAGATATATATTTCCGGTTCGACGAACCAAAACAAAGTCTATCAGATCACACGTTTGATATTGGGTTTATGAATATTCAAATATCACTGGGTCAAGCCGGGCTGACTCGTACCCCGGCGTAGCGATTGGACGTTCGGAAGAAAAAAATTGAATATTCATTAACTAAAATCAAGATTGCTGCACAACATAAGACAAGAAATTGTAATAGTGTGGTTATTTGCCATCTATGTGTGTGTGTGTGTGGGTGGGTGTTTTGTATTTATGTGAGCTATAGTGGCTCTTTGTTGTATTTGCAAAGGTCATCAGTAGATCTATACTAGTTATGTTCACACAAGACCATCTAATTAGTCTTAAACTTAGTCTTAAAAATTAGTCTTAAAGTTTGTGAAACGTCAACCAATGATCAGCTATTCCACAACAAGGGGTTCACACGGGGCCGAAACAACAAGTTTTAAACTACAAGCCAGGAAAGCATAGCATGACCTCGAGGTCAATTGCATCTGCATGGCATTTAACTTCGAGTGAGAACCCCCCCCCCCCCACCCTTTTTTTGCTCGTACTTATTGCGCTAAATTAAAGGGATAGTTGAGTTCTGTTGCAGAGGGCGCTACACAAAATATTTTTTGTGAGATAATGAAAAACTGTGTGTCAAATTTGAAAGAACATAAAATTTAAATGACAAATTCATCTTTGTTTGATCAAAATCAGTTCAGAGATGGCTGAAATATCCATAGGTATAACCATTGCTAATATTTGTGTACCACCACAAATATTAGATAATTTGAACCAGCCGTTAAAAAACAAAAATAGCGCCCTATACGTTTTATTCCAGCCAATGCCGATGTTGGCTTTTTGTGGGCTTTTTCGTGTAGGTTATAATACGCACAACCTGCCGTCCCATGTATTGTTATTATTAATTAATTAACGGTCACCGTATTTTCTTAAAAGTAGAGCTGAATTGGAATTATCGTATTGGCTAAATTTTACACATTTTGGGGTCTAAAATTACCTTCATAGCAATTTTAGGTCCTAATAGGGCACTAGAAATGTCATAAATAAGAATAAGAGCAATAACCATGGACTTTGAAGGCATTTGCGGTCCAAAACAAGAACTCAACTATCCCTTTAATTAAGACCGCGCATGGATTATAAGTGCAGGTAAACTTCAAGTGTTTTGTAACCATGAGTGTGTCCGCACAATCCCTAACACTTGAAGTTTAAAACCACAACATAAACCTAGCGTCAATGGACTGTTATGTGAACCTTACTATTGATGATGATAAATCTATGGAGGTAACTTCAGATTAGGGTCCTTATTTGCATTTTTTCTTCAAATAAATGTATTGACATGGTAGAGTTATTGATTTAACTGGGGGTGGGGGGGGGGGGGGGTATCTAACTTTAATGTGACCTTTACGAATTGTTGTCAATTAAGTTAGAAAAATTAACATCCTTTTGTGGCCTTATAATTATGTGCTAAAATTTGCTTGATTCAGGTTCAGACTTCTTGTAAATAGTATTATTAAATGGTGATCTGTAATGAAATGTAGTTTTGAAATGTTTATCAGTGTTTTCAATTAATATTTATTATAAAAAAACACTTCCATTTGAAATATATTAACACTTGTTTTACCGATTCTCTTTGTTTATTTTTTTTCTCTTATCCTCAAGCGAGGTTTTATGTCCATAATAGCAATACATATTTACATTAATAACTCAATGTTGAGTGAAACATAACATAGGCTAAAAGTTGGAGTATAATTATTCAATAATTCTTCCAGCTTAGTATTATTTTCTTTGCTAACACATTCATATCTTAAAAATAATCTTAGCAACGACTTGAATCATTAAAAAAAAGTATGTGAGTAGTAAACAGAACCATTAACAATCTTCTTAACGTACCATTTATAAATTGCATATTGCGCATAATTTAAAACAATTTTCAGAAGAGAATATTTCTTGTTTCCAATCTCCTTACCTCTGTTATCTTCTGGTCTATTTGTATTTATTTTTGGAATAGATTAAATATCAAATTACATATTATTTTCCAAAACAAAGTCACATCCTTGCAATATAACATAAAATGAAAAGTTGAGTCAACTTGTCCACAAGAGTTGCATAAATTATTATTTACAATTTGCCATTTAATAAGTTTTCTTTTGAAGCAATAAACCTTTGAATCACATTGAAATTAAATTGTTTAACTTTATTATTACGAGTTTGCTTTAATTTTAATAAAAATACATCCTTCCAAACAAAGTCATTATCAAAATCTAAAAAGGAATTCCAAAAGTAAATTATATTTGGTTCTCTTGACTTTTTACGTATTAACAAACGATAGTAATCTTTCACTTTCATAACAAAAACATTCAGTTTATCTCCTGTTTCTATTTCTATAATATTCGAAATATCACATTCTTGTTCAAAATCATAGGTTAATCTATCCAACCAACACTGTGGAAAGGCTTTCTTTAATTTTGTATATTTAAAATCAAATAAGAGCTGTTGTGCTTTCACTTTTGTATTTAGTAATGTAGAGTCATTCCAAATACCATCTGTAATCAAATTACGAATTTTCAATAAACCGGCCTCTTGCCATTCTCGATAACAAAATATTTTTTTCTTAAAGGTAATGTTACTATTTTTCCAAATAATTTCATTTGGAATATTTCTTACTTTAAACATATCAATGAATTTTAGTTTGACCAAGTACAAAAAAGATCTACATAGAATTCTGGCAAATTATGTTTAGAGCATAATAAATTCATATCTTTTATGTTACAATTGAAATGTAAACAAAGTGGCAAGCCCCCTATTTTATCGGACCAGTATCTAAACATATTTTTCCAATAAGAGCCATTATCATAAAAAAAACGAGATATCCATGCCAAACGAAGTGAAGATATTTTACTAGCAATATCAATCATATTTAATCCACAATTTTCAATATCACTTATAATTACATTACTTTTAATTTTATTCTCTTTGTTTATAGGCAAGCCATGTATCATAATTATATGGTCCATATGCTTATCTAAAAAAAATATCTACATTTTCAATGTTGTACATATTAACTTGTTTAACAGTTTTTGGGGGTGTTTTTTTCAGTGATGATGTTTCATGTCGGTTCTATATTTTTTTTAGAGATTGCATTTTTAAAATATTTGTACAACTCTAAACGTGCACTAAAGTTTGATTGACAATTTAGCCATTCTGGTTTGAAATAACTGTAATTATTTGGTCTTGAATTTAAACAATTTTTTTCTCTCTCTTCTCATCAACCGTTGCTGTCCGTGTAGGGAATCTTGGATACAAGCAATACAAGGAGTAAACGCCACATTGGAGAACCAACAGACCAACGCAGGCAATGGAGTAAAAGATGACAGCGACTCATTTGTAAGTATTTATCCCGTACTCAGGCATTTTTACCCCTTTTTAATTTTAATTTATGGTATTATTTTAAAAATAATTTAAAAATAATAGATCTAGATAATGGTATATATTCTCAGATTTTATTGAATAATAATATGCAAATGTGTGTTTTGTGTGACTGCTAAAGCATGTGTATGCTACTATGGACCTACGCACATCGACACGGGTTTGATCCTGGGGCCTCACAGTTACGAGGCCATTGCTTTGTCACTGAACCATGACTGTACGCAGCGGGGGCTAGGGTAGGGGGCAGTTTCCATTATAAAAAATAAAAAACAGAAAATGCAATAAATTTTCAATAATTTATTGCATTTTACCCCGGTCCCCAACATAAAAAAATCCTCTGGACGACCATGCATTATGGCTCAAGGCATGGGCACACTTAGGTTTTATCATTTTTTTAATCAGGTTTTTTTTTGTTAGGCATTGTTTTTTAACATAAATTTGAACTTATATTAGAGTCTTCAATGATGATATGTATCTTTCTTTCTTTCTTTGTTTTAGTCTTGATTATGTTTTATCATAACGACAACATAAAAGTAGATAAAACTTATTTGTGATTTTGTCGTTTTCAGATTTTATGAATATTAATGAGCTCAAGATATGGCAATAATTCCTACTGATAACGATGTTGACATGCTGCGTACTTTATCCTCTTTATAAGCTTGAAGGTTTTTACTTACAGAAAACAATCTCTGCTGTTTACTATTGGGACGCGTGTGGGCATGCAGTCACGTCATAGCTTTGAGATGTTGATGACAACAACATCGTTTGTATATTTTTGTGAATTGTTTCACATAATAGATTTCATTCAAAAATGAAATTAACAAATCTCTTAATGTGACCACTTATGAATGATAATGTTACCAGAAAGAGCTGTTGGCCATATCCATATATTAATCATGTTTGGATGAAATTAGTGAATAAAAGAGTCATGTTGTATAGGACGCATCTCACGAAATCGCCCTTTGATATAACTACATACGCCCTTCTACTTTTGATGCGCCCCTTCTTTGCAGACAATGGATGATTTTGATGTGCTGAAAGTTCTAGGAAAGGGAACCCTTGGCAAGGTGGTCCTGGGGCGAGAGAAGAAGACGGGCGAAGTGTTCGCCATCAAGGTTTTCAAGAAAGAAGCATTTCTTCAAGAGGTTAGTATCTGATGGCTCAGTGGTAGAGCAGTAGTCTTGTAAACGGGAGGTCCCGGTTCGAAAACCAGTCAATGCACTCAATCATGTCCTTTGGTAAGGCATTTATCCTCATTACCAAGTCCCTCGAAGAGGACTTAAAGCCGTCGCACAGTGGGCCAGAACCGCCTCAAAGTGTGCCAAAATTAATTTCTCATTGAAGAAGGTTAATAAAGTTCCTGGTTAAAGTATCTAAGGGGCTTTCAGACCCATAGAATTCGATGGGAGTATTTTCAAATCCGTGTGACGTCATCAAAATACTGTATTCTGATTGGACAAGGCAAATATGCATTGTAACACATAGACAGATTCATATTACACTGATTAGTGGAACTTATAAGGGGTTTCTGGACCTAAGAAACACAATTGGAGCATTTTCAAATTTCTCTGACGTCATTAAAATACTATTTTCTGATTGGACAAGGCAAATATTCATTGTATTAAACACATAGAAAGATTCATATTACACAGCTTAGTGGAACTTATAAGGGGTTTCTTGACCTAAGAAACACAGTTGGAGCATTTTTAAATTTCTATGACGTCATCAAAATACTGTTTTCTGATTGGGCAAGGCAAATAATCATTGTAACACATAGGCAGGTTCATATAACACTGATTAGTGAAACTTATAAGGGGTTTCTGGACCTAAGAAACACTATTGGAGCAATTCAAATTTCTCTCACGTCATTAAAATACAGTTTTCTGATTGGAAAAGGCCAAAATGCATTGTAACACATAGACATAGACAGTGCCTGGCAAGTCTGAAGTTGGCTCTGTTTCTGTCCCGGTATCTGTGCTGTTTTGCTGTGCAAGAAATGTTTCTACTTCAGTATTGAATGTCAATATCTGATTAAGCCAGTCCTCGTTTTCTTTCATGAAATATTCCTGGTAACGACCACACTTGTTCCATTTCTCTCGCATATGATACAGAAAGCATCCAATAGTCTTTGACAAACTCTTGAGAAGTTTTTTTGTGGGATGTTTGACTTGTTACCCACATTATGATATGCACATAATGCATCAATGGATGTTTCGGATGCCAGTTTGATGTCTGAAATGAAGCCAGCTGAATGCACAGCATGAAAAAGCTGCCTTTTTAATACCGCCATCGTTTATTTCAATCCAAGTTCTCCTAGAATGATACCATATATGATTGCGAATTGCATCAACGTGTGAAAGCAATATACACTACGCTATACGCTCTACACTCACGTAACCGTTGCCATGGTTACGCGGACGAGCGTTGAATCGGCTGGTGTAGCAAATTCTAGCAAAAAGAAATAAAGTACATGTAAAGCTTAGGTTTGGGCGGACATTTTGAGATTAACATCACTGCGGGAATCGGCCGGAATCCTAATAAACATGCTACTTTTATATACAAATTGCAATTTTTTCCTTTTTTTGTGAAATTTATTGGTAATTTTTCTCAAAATGAAGCTTCCATAAACGTGGTCATTGTATTTTCTTATTGGGTTACCAATAGGCAAGAAGTGCACGCAGTATCAAGTTGATTGCTTTTCCCTTCATAAATTCTCAACACCTATTGTAAAGTTGCCTCTTTTATCATTTTTGGAGCAACATATAGATTTTCCCATGTTCGCAGGGGTATATGACACTTTTAAAACTAGCTAAATATTAAAATATGGGTGGAAAAATATTCTTTAGAATGTTTTCTTCCCCAAGCGAATGAAAAAAAATTAAAAATTAACATTCGCCAATTTTGAATTTTGGCACACTTTGAGGCGATTCTGGCCCACTGTGCGTCGGTCCCATGGATGTTTACTTACAAGCATATTAACAGTAAGGTAAAACAATCATCATCGCCGAGGCCGTACAACCAATCAACGACGATCAATTCGACTATGAAGACGAGCCCGAGTACCAAACCTACCGACAACCAATCCCTGTCGACGACAACCTCCATCGACCAATCCATGCCGACGTCCGACCAACAGTCTCCGCCGCCAACAACCGACAACCGATCCATGCCGACTTCGACGCCCGACCACCAGCCTTCGCCACCGATAACCAACAACCAACCCAAGCCGACGATCAATTCTACATACCAAGCGACTTGGAAGACGATGAGCCCGAGGAGCAGCCCTACCGACAACCAGAGTTCGCCGCAACCCTTCGAGAACCAATCCCCGAGGACGCCTCCCTTCGAAGACCAATCCATGTCGGCGCCCGACCATCATTTTTCGCCGCCAACAACCGACAACCAATCTATGCCGCCTTCGACGCCCGACCACCAGCCTTCGCCGCCGATAACCAACAACCAACCCAAGCCGACGATCAATTCTACATACCAAGCGACTTGGAAGACGATGAGCCCGAGGAGCAGCCCTACCGACAACCAGAGTTCGCCGCAACCCTTCGAGAACCAATCCCCGAGGACGCCTCCCTTCGAAGACCAATCCATGCCGGCGCCCGACCATCATTTTCCGCCGCCAACAACCGACAACCAATCTATGCCGCCTTCGACGCCCGACCACCAGTCTCCGCCGCCGCCATTAACCGACAACCAATCTATGCTGCCTTCGACGCCCGACCACCAGCCTTCGCCGACCGACAACCAGTCTCCGCCGCCAACATCCGACCACCAGCCTTCGCCGTCGACAACCAACTACCAAATTAGGGACATCGTAGCTCTTTTCAACAGCCTCCATCAGCGGAACGTGGAACTCTCGGCACAGAACGTGGAACTCAAGGTGCAGAAGGCCGAGCTCACATCGAAGGTGACGCAACTGCAGAGTCAGGTCGACGCAAACCGAAGTCGTGCCAAGAGGATGCCGATCTACCTTGAACTCGACGACGGGAGTGTCCTCATCGGCGTCGAAAACGCAAACTACGTCGTCAACAGAGCGGTCTACGAGAGGGCGTACCAGGCTTGCAGTGGACCACAGGATCTCATCATCCGACTCATGGACTAGGTGATCCGGCCAGAGGAGCTAGCCGTTTCTAACTTCCACGGGGGGGGGGGGGGGGGGGGGGAGGGGAGTCAAGAGCGGCGGAGAGTGGAGGATGAAGACCTGCATCCGAAGAATGCCTGCCTTCCGAGCCCTGGTCGCCCAAGCTGAGATCCAATTCCCGGGGAGCACCAACATTCAGGAATTCCAGGCTTGAAAGAGAATTTTCATATTCCAACACATATGTCGGCAGAAAATTTGAAAATACAAACAATTTATTATTTATAAATGTAATCTTTTTCGAGCGGGAAAATACTTGTATTAGAAGTCTTTCGTAACGTCAAAATTCATTTTACCAGGTTGTTTCCGCTGTTATCAACTTCAGAAAATCAAAAGTTGAGAGAACAAATGTTATACGTTGATTAAAAAGATAAATAAAAATAGCTCTCTTTCCTTCGAAAGGTGCCCCGCGCTGTCTATATAAAAATGATACTTCCAACACTATGTCGGCAGAAATTTGAAAAGACAAACAATTTATTTTATATAAATGCAATCTTTTTTCGAGCAGGAAAAAAATTATATTAAAACCAGCTCGTAGCGTCAAAATTCATTTTAACGGTTAAGAAAAAAAGCGATCGTAACTTTTTTTAATTGAAAAATGGAAACGTAATTCCAAGATATTTTCCCCTTCAATTAGGAGACAACGTGTTTTCGCTGTTATCAAAAGTTGAGAGAACAAATGTTATACCCTGTTTAAAAAGATACATTGAAATAGTTCTTACTCCTTCTAAAAGTGAGCCGCTGTTGGAACTATAGGTATAGTCACTTTGGCAGGCATTTGAAATCACGCATATCTGATTAATCGCCAGCGTCTCGGGCATGCTTTTTAATCGCCCAATTCTCAAAAATCGATGCGATCTGCGCCTTTTGTCTAGGGAACAAAGGAGCATTCCAGAATGCATTCCAGAATGCATTCCAGAATGCGCACAGAGTGATTTCAAGTTGGGTGTTAGTGTTAGCGTTAGTGTTAGTGTTAAGAGCAGTCAAGAGCTCTTAAATCGAGCGAAAAATTTGCTGATGAAATTAAGAGCTCGATACCGATATCAATATAGATAGCTTAACACCAGCTGTGACGTCACCACATACTTGACTTCACGACGATGACTTAAAAATAGTAGGGCCTACATCAAAACTAAAGATATCATGAAAAGTACAGAATAAATTTATACCTATTTCTCTGGTCTTATAAAATAACTCATTTTACACAAAAGAATATAATGAATTACCTGTTTCACATATTTTATTTGATCGTCAGACAATAAATAATTGGCGTCGTCGTGCGTTGACTGTTGTGCGGTACAACACTAACACCGGACTGGAAATCACTTTTGCTAAATCCCTAGGGGCTAGTGTTAGTGAATAGGACATTTGTACGTAAAATATTAACACCAGCCACAAAGGTCGGTTCAGCAGACGACAATTTTACAAAATCGATAACACTAGCTACCGGAAGTTGACGATATTCAGAGGTCAAAGCCTTAACACCAGCTGATTTCCATTTCGGTGTTTAGGCTGGTGTTAGTGTTTATTAAACACTAACACCAGCCTTAAACACCCAACTTGAAATCACTCAATTCCGGCATTCCGGATACATTCCAGAATGCCAGTTGAATAAATCCGTGGCGCCTAAGCAAGGACACATAAAATTGACGACGTATAATTGGCGACGAAACCAGCCAGGCGTGAATCTCGTCGTGAATTTTATCGCCAATTATTCACGACGAAATTGACGATATCGTGAATTTCGTCACCAATTTCGTCGTGAATAATTCGCGATTTCGTATATTGACGACGTCGTGAATTTTATCGCCAATTATTCACGACGAAATTGACGATATCGTGAATTTCGATGCCAATTTTGTCGTGAATAATTCGCGATTTGGTCTGTCCGCGATTTCCCTTCTAAACCACCATAATTAACAGTAACATCTCCCAACCGTTTTCCTTGAAAATAAGACATCAAACAGGCTTTTTTTTTTTTTTCTTCAACATTTAAATGTCTGGAAAGGTATGTAGAGCTAATTCATTGCTTTGTGACGATTTACATTCACCTAAAATGTAATTAAATAGTAATAATATAGTTGGGAGAATTAAGGAATCGATCAGATCAGTTTTTCCCAATTTGTATCATTAATAATGGCCCGTTTCAGTCACTCAAACTTTCAGATTATATTTAACTGTACATTTAGCATTGAAGTCACTACCTCGTGACCCAGCCTTTTCTTCCTTTAGTATCCTAATCTCCTTCTCCCTTCTTTTCTCTCCCTCTCTCTCTCTCTCTCCTCCTTCTCTCACTCCTTCTCTCCCTCCTCTTTTAATCACAGGATGAAGTAGAGCTAGAGAACTCATTGACAAAGAACAGAATGGTACAAAAGATAAGTCACCCCTTTTTAGCGGTAAGTATCTCTGCAGGGTTTGCAGCTTTCCTTCTCGAGGACTTGTTCTGTTTGAATAAAATAGAAGAAAAAATCAAACAGCAAAAACTGTTAGAAGATGAACACAAATAGCATATTATTACATATGAAATAATAATAAATTTTAAAGTCATTAACCCATTAGACACCAAGTAGGAGATCATTCGTACTGGGGTAAACTATTTCTAGCTGTGTTTTTTGTAATGATTGTTCTTAAAGTTAGACTTGAGTTCTGGTAAAAAAAATGAATTTTCACAGAATCTAACGAAACTTACACTGAATGTTCAAGATTACAAATAAATGTCATGTGCCAAACAATTTTGGAAGAAAATGTATACTGACTGAGTAATGAGCATAGAAAGATAAGGAAATCAGCCGGGTAGTACTAGCCCCGACACCATGTGTGATGTCCCATATACATCTTTCTGTGTAAGTGATTGTTACTTTACCAAGACTCTGCCAAATTTATGATGATTTTGATGACTCCAGAACCTTGCATTACACACCATTACTTACATGCTATATGATCAACTTTTCTGATCCATTCCACACCTTTTCTTTCACAATGCAATTGCATTACCAGAACTCAAGTTTATCTTTATGTGGAAAATGTCAGCTGGCCTTCTCTCCCATTTGATCTTCTTGTGTTTTTTTCTGTCAAATCATACTATCTGACACAGTTGTAATGCTAGTTGATCAACTTTTAGTATCCAGTTTACTGGGCATAAGTCAAATCTGTTTGGACTGCGAAAGAAAATATTTCGATTTATGCAAATTCAAGTTAGGAAGTGTAAATAGCACGTTAAGTTGCATAGTGTGGTTAAACAAATTGATATGACTCGGGGGGGGGGGGGGGATTTATGCGATGTTAACTGTATTTTACAAGTACCATGTGGAGTAGTATAGCTTCATAGTCTGCGAATGCAGATTTACACAGACTCTGATTTGCCACTTTCAGAAATGAGAGTAGTCTTACAGTCAGACAATGTTATTCATTCTCACTGACAGGGGCTTGTGCGTGTCAAAATGTATGACCTCACTGTTATCTCGAACGAAATTGCAATAACATTAGACATGAAAATGTAAAGAAGTAATTTATTGATTATTAGGACTCTGTAAAGGTCATGTGGACAGTAAAACCGTTTTGGGAATATTGTTAGCCTTTCAGTGAAAATTGGTCATATCTGTTGCGATTGCAGATAATTCAAATAACATGGCCCCAAATGACAAGAGATTTTGCTTTTTTTGTATGTGAAAGTTCTACGATATCCGACACCTTATATTAAACTGTTCATATGGCCATAAATAATTATGTATGTCGGAACAAGTTAAAAATGTTAAGTGAATGCGAATTTCTTTTGAAATTGAATCAAAGTTTGATTGTATAGGATGTGATGGGCTTATATGAGGAAGATGCATTCAAGTTAAACGTTTCTATCTTTTCTCCGTCTAGTCCCTCGAGTATTTTTTTCAGACGTCAGATCGACTCTACTTTGTGACGGAGTATGTGAATGGAGGTGAGCTCTTCTTCCATTTATCCAGAGATAGGGTGTTCACGGAGGAGAGGGCACGGTTCTACTGCGCAGAGATCGTCTCCGCCCTTAGTTACCTTCACGCACAGGATGTCATCTATAGAGATATGAAGGTTTTAAAAAAATTCGGTTTAAAGTTCTTTAGTTGTAACGGTTCAAAGTGCTATAGGCCCACCGCACAGTATACGATCTAACTACAATCCTATTTTGAATAAGACTTGTAATAGCATTTCATATGAGCATTCAAACATGTTAAATCTTAATGACCGAGAATCTGAATATACGTATGATTAAAGGAAACCGAACCCCAAAGAATAGGTGTAGGTACCCTTTGATGATATTCCTTACGAAAATTTACAAGAAATATATAAACGAAGATATTGCTGGCATGATGTGATGCCTTTTAGCATGACATGGGCGCAGCCATTTTCTTGAAAATGTGACGTACCCGTTGAAGTTTATAACGCAACCTTTACTTTTCAGTGAGGAAAAATCATAACTGAGAAGATAGAAATTATATTTGGTGAAAAATAAACAACAGGGGAACAAATGTAACTAAATTCATTTATAAATACTACACTATAGTAGTGGACAAATCTATTTCATTTATGAGAAACCTTCACCCCAGAAGAGCACCAACTTATTTATACAATTTGCGTTCTGGCAATTTTGTAGTACAAGGATAATAGCGGGTGAATGAAATGCTTCATCACCACACACGTCTGGGAAGGAAGCATCCATAAATTTGAATACATTTACTTGATAAACGACTTCGCATAGTAGGCCTACGTCACGTTATCAAGAAAATGGCGATGCCCATGTCGTGCTGAGAAACTACATTATTCTTACTTTATACCTCTCATACATTTTGGTGCGGAAACTTGACTAATGGGCTATAATATAATAGATCTCTCAGAATAAGTAAAGTCATTTCTGGGGTTCAGTTTCCTTTAATAAAATACATTAATGAGATGCTATGTCAACTCAGAACCGTAGTGATGACATGTGATTACATGTTTCATAGATAATCTTTTTTTTTACATATATATATATATATATATATATATATATATATATATATATATATATATATATATAAAATGTTCATGTTACTTTCATCAATATCAGGATACTTTACAATTCCTTTAATCAGCAAATATTTAGTATGTAAAATGGATATTGAGAATTAAAACGGTGGAGAAGTTTATTGTAATGATGATAGAGATAATGGAGGCAGACATGTTTTATTCTTAGTTAATACTTCATAGCGTGTTAATTACTCATAAGGTTATTTCCTCCATTCTTCTGAAAGAACAACATTCCTCTTGGCACAGTTATATTTGTAGTTGTTGAAAGGTCTTTCAGAACTATGGAAATTCATTACGATTCGTAAGTGACTAGCCCCTTGTGAAACTGAAAATAAACTTGATTTATATTGATTTTCAATAATGCTTGAATGACATTTTTGAGGACCTAGTCAATAGAAAAAACTGTTAGATGTCATTAGAATAAGGTTGTTTTTTTTAACAGAAAAAAAAGTATGTATAGTGAAATAAACCAACATCAATTAAGACGGTTTTTGCTTCAACAGTTGTTATTAAACATCTCGACACTGCAATTTTTATTTGGAAAAAAGAAGAAAAGAAAATGAGAAGATGGGTATTCGAACGATGACCAATGTTGTTCTCTCAGATGGGTTTTACTTGCTTTAGATAATTGCAATGATATATAAACAAATATGCAGTTATATATAATATGGTATTTGTAAGCGCTTTTTAGCAAGTATCCTTTACGCTGAAAAGATGTCACATGACACTCTACAATTTGTTCTATGGGCACGAGCGTGCAACATAACATTTTTTTACATGAGAAAAAGTGTACAAAAGTGAATTAAACTGAGCGCTCTCTTCCCTGCGCATACTATTCAGTGGCGGATCCGGGGGGGGGTCGAAACGGCCGCCGCCCCCTATTGGCGGCGCAAAAAAAAGAGGAAGGGAAAAGAGGAAAAAAAAAAGGAGAAGAGAAAAAGACACGAGAAATAAACGAGAAGAGAAAAGAAAGAAGAGAAAAGAAACAGAGAGAGAGAAGTAACCCAATAACACAAAACTATGATATGACACCCCGCCACGCTCCCGGCCTTGATTTATCCATGGTTGGCGTAATACATTTTTTTCTTTTTCATTTCTACTAAAATAATTGTGTGCTATCACAATCATGATTGTTTCAATTTCCCTTTAAAGCAGGCGCGTAGCCAGAGTCAAGAATGGAACAACGAATCGTCTTCTTTCTCTAAAAAATTCATTAACTATGAAAGGTCAAAGCTCCCGCGCTTCGCGCGGGAGGGGGGGGGGGGGACTAAATTCAGACAAGGAAAAAGGGTCGAGAATGGTACAACGAATCGTTTTCTTTCTCTAATAATTCCATTGAACTATGAAGGGTCAAAGCTTACGCGCTTTGCGCAGGAGGGGTGGGGGAACTGAATTCAGACAAGAAATAAGAGTCTAGAATGATACAACAAATCGTCTTTTTTCTCTAATAGTTAATGACAGGTCAAAGCTTCCGCACTTCGCGCGAGCGGGGAAAAACTGAATTCAGACAAGGATTAATTGTCGAGAATGGTACAACAAATCCTCTTCTTGCGGTCACGGTGAAATATAATATCACTCTGGAAATTCTGGATTTGTTAGTTGATATATTTAGTTATATTGAACACAAGAGCATGCAATATTGTGTAATGTTTATGTCTTCTCTTATTGTGAAACCACCCAAGTAATCCGGTCTGTTTTAGCTTTAAAACCATGGCAACATTTTTGTTTATCTTTAATTCCAGCTGGAGAATATTCTCTTAGATTCAGAGGGACATATTAAGATCACAGACTTTGGGCTCTGTAAACAAGAAATCTCCTACAGTGACACGACAAAGACCTTCTGTGGAACACCAGAATATCTAGCACCCGAAGTAAGTACTCTCCCTTAATTTCTTTAACCCCTAATTTTTTTTAAATGAGAGAAAAAATGATAATGATCACAGTTTAATTTTAAAATGAAATTGGGTTTATGGTGTATTTTAAAAGAAGTTACAAGCTAGAAGAAGACACATTAAACTTGAATACACTTCTTGGCATCCCCGCCCCACAATCCATAGCAATAATTATATTGTAGATCTCACTTAATTTTCGCACTACTAAAATCAGCTATAAAACCCAAAATTATCTGGGCAGTTTATTGAGCATTATTTCGGATTGACCATGTAACATCACAATTGTTTATCAGCAGTAAGTATTTTGCCTTAAAGTCAGCTTGCTTAAGTTAAATACTCAGATGTAATCTGTTAAACGAAGAAACATTACTTTTTGATAAGCCAAGCAACAAATTTAATAAAATACTGACTTATTCCTATACTGAATGAATAGGGGAGGGTAAGGGGGTGCATGTTGGATGTGGATTAAAACCACAGCTCTGATTGAACCCTCACTCTGAGAAGATCCAAAGATCACTGTCATTGCTTCCTTTACCCCATTTCCAGATCCTTGATGAAAACGACTACGGGATGGCGGTAGACTGGTGGGGCACGGGCGTGGTCATGTACGAGATGATGTGCGGTCGGCTACCGTTCTACAACAGGGACCATGAGGTTCTCTTTAATCTGATCCTGAAGGAGGACGTCAGGTTTCCGAACCGGCTGTCCGAAGAGGCCAAGTCTCTCCTGAGTGGATTACTGGAGAAGGATCCTAAGAAGAGGTACGACAGTTCAAATTCATTTCAGATTCAAGTTCATTTATTCCGCATCTCTTAATAAAATGTAGGCAGAAATAAACAATTTAAGACACAAGCAAATGATACAAAATAAGAAAAGATGCGGATATTGTGATGAAGTGGATGTGAGGGAGTAGCAAAGGCCATTGACCTGTCAAGGCTACTCCCCGTATTAACAAAGTTGGGGCTTACATGTACAGTACAAAAAGTACGGGAGCAAAAAGTAAAATGGGAAAGACTAAATATAGTCACAATACTATTCAAAAGAAGTAGTATACTATCTGAGTAATGAGCAAAGAAAGATGTTTAAGATGAGCTGTTTGCCATATTCAATTAAGAAAAAAAAAAATTCTTTAAGTGTTGTTTCATTGATTCAATGCCTTCTCTGCTGTTGATATATGTGAATGCAACCTTCCGAATGCCAATTCTGTATTTAAAACATGCTAATGACCAGAAAAAATGAAAATATAGAAAACAATTGATCTTAATAATATGTTTTAAAAATCAGCAATTCATTATGTTCTTCAATTCTAATTTATTCTATGTCTCTCTGTTGTACAGGTTAGGATATGGGCCTGATGATGCCAAAGAAATCATGAGACATCCATTCTTTGCTCCGATCAACTGGGAAGACATCTTTGAGAAAAAGGTGGGTATTTGCACACCACTCAGTAAAGGGCAACCCCGTTAAGAGTGAAAGGGAAGGTGTATGACGCCTGTGTTAGAAAATGCATGACGTACGGGAGCGAAACATGGGCAATGAAATCATCTAGTCTAGGGGAAAACTGAGATGAGGATGGTGAGGTGGATGCGCAGGGTATCACTTCACGAGAGAAGGAAGAACAAAGTCCTCCTTCAATCAATGTGCTTGATGGGGGTGGCACAGGTTATGAGGATAAATAGACTTAGATGGTTTGGACATGTGGCAAGAAGAGAGGCAACACACTGGCTCCAGATGGCTCTAAACTTTTCGGTCACCGGAAGAAGACCTCGCGGATGACCCAGGAAAACTTGGAGGGAAACCATAGAAGAAGATGTCAAAACATCGGGTATGGATCCCACAGACAGGAAAGCTTGGAAAGCAGCCATTAAGGAAATGAAATGTCCAACCCCACAAAGACTTTAAACGCTGATGATGATGATGATGATGATGATGATGATGATATGATGGTGATGATGATGATGATGACATATGGCGCGGTAAAGCACCACAACATTTAAAAAACGGCGTGTTTTTTGTAAACGTTTAAATGAATAGCAACTGCGTGCCACAGGGGTCTTATGCATATTCACTTAACTGTAGATATGTGTTATAAGATACATAAATGTATAGCGTTGTTCACAGTACCTCATCTTTGGAAATAAGAACACTGTAGTTTACCCCTGTGTATCTGGATAAGGCTTATAAAGTAACTGGACGTGCAGGAGATTGTCTGCATGGTTTTAATAACGCATGTACATCTAACTGCACATTCCTGAGAGGAAAACTGGTAAACCTAAAATTGTAGTCATTTCCATTGCGATATTATGTTGATGCAAAATCATGTCAAAGCCACTGAGATAATATCCGATTTTAGAGCTTTTGTGAGCTTTGGAATTTCATCATAATCTATCTATCAATTAAGGCATCTTCTCCCAGTTTGGAGGTTGATTACAACATATTTCCACAAATCTCTGTTTTATGCAATCCTATAGTAATCTTAATAGGAAAACAAATATGTGCAAAATAACTTAATCAGAAATATAGGACGTGCTTATTTTTGCTTTATCAAAATAAGATCTAGGGAAAATATGCTTGTTCTTGTTCAAATCTGATATTATTTTTGGCACATTTAATCTCTAGGTCATATGTTAGATTTTTTTATAAGAACTCGGGGTAGATTTGTCACATCTATCTTGTAAACATATAATAATATATTTAGGAGCGCTAAAACATATAGTCCATACCGCGTACAGAACACAAAAGTTGAAGAGAAACATAAAATATATAGACTCATAAAATAGGTAGATAAAATCATATTACCGAGGGAAGGAGTATGTTTTAAGGGATCTTTCGAAAGTAGCACGACAGGTTAATTCTCTGATGGAAAGAGGGATATTGTTCCACGTTTTGGAAGCAGCCACTGTGTAATATTTTTCTGTAGATGAGAGACTGGCTTTGGGAATAATTAGATATTGTATTTTTGTTTTTCAATTTCCAGGTGCAACCTCCCTTCAAACCTGAAATTAAAAGTGATGCAGACACAACATATTTTGATCGAGATTTCACACAAGAGCGCGCACGGCTTACTCCACCACCAGCAGGCAAGGATACGTCATGAAGGGGATGGTGATGGTGGTGGTGGTGGTGGGGGGGGGGGGGGGGGGGATAATGATGATGATGGTGTGTGGTGGTGGTGGTGGTGGTGATGATGATGGTAGGGTCGTGGCGGTGGTGATAATGATGATGATGATGATAGTGGTGGTGGGGTGGTGCTGCTGATGATGATGATGATGGTAACGATGGTGGTTGTTGTTGTGTCAGGGATGGGGTTTGTGATGAAAAAGAAGGAGATGAAGATAGTAGTGGTGATAATGGAAATGATAATAGTAATAGTGACTATGATAGTTGTGGTAGGAATGATGATGATGGCGATAATGATGTTGATGATTAGAATGGTGATGAGCAAGTGTACTGCCCAGCTGAGTTGTGATGGTAGTAAGTTAGAGTGATAATGGTGCTAAAAATCAGAGAAATAAAGAGAATCAATGGTAATTTCTTGGCTGTAGTCAAGATGGGAGCTTGGTAGTGATATTAAGACGTGTGCCAAGGATGCCAAGATTGATGATAATGATGGAAATGCAAACCCTACCACCACCATCCTATCCTGAATTAAGAAGAGTAGATTGTGATGTCGATGAAGGAGCAAAGAGTAGGAAATAACAATATCTCAAATGCGGCAACAATTCATGATTTTCAATAAGAGCATATGATGATGGTTTAGTTAGAATGATAGCGGTGTGTTACGATGCAGTCACTGCGAATATTTCTAGAATATCTTTCTTCCAACAACCTCCTACCCCATTTCCTTTGCAGGTACATTGGCCACCCAGCATGAAGAGCAGTCTCAATTTGAAAAGTTCAATGTATACACGGATGATGTCCCCCTGCAAAAATAAGCCAAGCAACCCCATCTCTCTCCATCTCACTTCTGTTTCGCTTCGAAGTCCTCACCCGACCTCTCCACCCATTGGCAATCATCAAAACATCTCTTCGCCTTCGTCAGCTTGCTCTGAGCGTCTTGTGGTAATGGCTTTAGCGACCAGGTTGAGGGTTTGTCGTTGCAGCTTCAATACTAGCTTATCATTGAATCATCGGACTACTCTACATGGAGTGATGAAACTTTGTGAATCTGACTTGTGATAGCATTCAAACAATCACCTCTTCATGATGCAGTTGACCTCTGACCTCTGATGTACTGAAGAAGAGGAGGGGTTTCCATAGCAACTGAGCATGATTATTTGTCACACTTCATACAGTGTCAACATACAGGGAGAAACAATGGAGAAAGAAAGAGCAATGGTTGCAAGTTGCGATAAACTTCCAGGAACATTTGTGCTGCTTATTTTGTGACTGCCAAAAAGAAGAAGGAAAAAAAAAGAAAAAGAAAGGAAGAAGTGTAAATTTATTTTACATTGCATCAATGGAATAGCACAAGTTCAATTGTAATGTCACTTTAGAAGATGGTCTTTTTTATGAAAGACATTATGAGTTCTATGACTAACAAAGATATGTTCATTGTATTGACTTTATATTGGAGAAAGGTATCGACTAAAACTAATATTTTTTATAAAATGTTTTAGTCATTTGTACAAAGAAATATTCAAAGCAAATTTCTGTAGTCAGGATTTGCTTGTGTTGAAAACATGTGTACATGGACGATGTTAAAAGTTTAACGTGAACAATTTTACTACAAAAAGGTATACTTGGGATGAATTATATAATAAGAGATACTAAAAGGGTATTCGTTCTTTTTTGTGGAATGTACAGTATATGTCAACAAAATAGAAAGTATATATGTACAGGAAAAACTAAATTTCACAAAGCTTTTTAAAGTCTGTAGCATGAACAATGCTCTCATACAGAGAGCCGTAGCCGTAGCCAGAGTTTGATGTTTGGGGGGAGGGGCACATATTGTAATTGATCGACGTCCTAGGGAGGGGTCTAAAAAAGTTCAATCGATCTTAGAGAAAAAAATGGGGGGGGGGGGCACGTGCCCCCCCCCCCCCCCCCGTGGCTACGTGCCTGTCTTATGTCATTTATTCCTCTTCAGGTAATAGTTGCAAAAGTAGAAAAATAGTTTTATATTCTGCAAGTGAAATATTTGCATCTGTGTGAGTAAAGGAGCTGTTATCTTTCAAAAAGAAAAGGTATAAAACAGAGGAAAGTTTTGTCATGATTTAGCCCGGGAATGCCATTAATAATTGTCATTAATAAATAATAAGAAAGAGAAGGTTATGTAATATTGTGCTGTATGTGGCTCTTGGTATATATCGGATGTGTATTTTGTGCATCTTATAATGTTCAATAAAAATTGACTGAACTAACACATATTTCTCTCGTCTCTAGTCATTTTTGTTTGAAGTCTTAACTAGCACATTCTTATTACTAGAAAGGCAATATATGATTATAGTTTATTCAAGGTCATTTAAATTTGCCCTTTTCTTTTTGCTTCTACTTCAGAGTTTAAAATAATTGTTTATTTAAAAGTTGTTAGTTTTATTATTTTCCGAGTCTCATTGATATGGCGATAATGCCATTTTATAATGCAAATACCTGCTGATAAATATTCAAGAAGCTTGAGCAGTGGTGATATGGAACAGGCCATTTTCGTAATGTAATCAAATTGAATGCATATGCACTGTTGGTCATAATGGTGGAATAATTATTTTTACCCCAATTTATTGAATGATTTTGACAATGATTTATTTCTAATAGATAAAAGTATAATTCTCAGATTTAATTGAATGACAATTGGGGAGTGTTTGTTTTGCGTAAATGCTAAAGTATTTGTGTGTTACAATGCTAATCAACTAGGGGACCTACGTCCTGAAGTCATAACTGACAGTAATGGGGATTAATACCTCATAAAAGGGCACTAATATAGGACATCGACACGGTTTTGATCCTGGGGGCTCACAGTAACGAGGCCAATGCTTAGCCAATGAATCATGACTAAACGCAGCGGGTGCTAGGGTACGTCGACGCCCCCACAAAAACAAAAAAAGACAATAATAATTTTTCAATAATTCATTGCATTTTGCCCCGACCCCCAACATTAAAAAATCTTCTATGTGGGCATGCCTTGAACCATTATGCATGGCCCTGCGGAGGTATTTTTCCTATTGGGGACTGGGGGAAATGCAATGAATTATTGAAAATTTATTGCATTTTCTTTGTTTTTTGTTTTTGTGGGGGCGTCGACGTACCCTAGCCATGAAAATTCCATTCAAAGAAAAGGAACGTTAACAGGAATTAAATATCCTAAACATTCCGCATGCCACCTGTATTTATCAATGGAGGTTTTTGCATTTTAGCGATACGCGCATATCGTGGGAATATTGTGAGAGGATGGGAAAGCGTGTGTTTTTTTGTTATAGGGGTGAGAAGACATGAGACCCTGACGCTGGCGTAATTATGGGGGGGGGGGGTAATTTCTTATTCTATACCAGTGATTTACAAATGTTGCTTAAATGACATGATTTTCCGGTATTTTTCTCAATTTTTGTGTAAGTCATACCTTTTTAAAGCGTTTGTTGGAAAATTAGAAATTCCCCAACTTACAGTCGGGCGAAATATATACTTATTTAGAAGCCTTCATGTCAGGGCCTGAAGAATGGCTGGGCTCGGGGGCTCGAGCCCCCCCCCCCCTCACTTTTTTGAAAAAGTATGTTACAGAGAACAAGAAAGAAAGAGAGAGAAAAAAATAAGTGACCTGCTAATGTCACAAATGAAGTATCAAAATATGATCATCTGACCGTAATTCAATGCCTAAAACCCCAGAGCTAACGGGGGCTCCGCCACCGGACCCTACCAAGGGCCCTAGGGCGGGGGCCCCCTTAATGCTCTTCTGACCGTTATTAAATACCTAAAACCCCTG